GCCAAAAATTCTATAAATACGAGTCATAGATGTATCAACTCCATAGATTGGTTTCGTGACTCAAGCATCCGCCACGCTCCAATTCCTTAAGAGCTTAAACTGTGAAGACTCCAATAAACATATGAGTATAAACTGTGTCAGACGCCGGACAACGCGTCGCAATGAAGCTTGGACGTCGGACAACGCGTCACAAGGAAGCTCAAACGCCGGACAACGCGTTGTAAATGAAGATTCAATGCCGATGACCGATGGTCAGTTCTATGTTGAAACAACCAACTCGAGCTAAAAAGTTAGAAAAGCGAGAATCGACTTCGAATTCAAAATTCCAACAGACGGTCAGACAATAAATACAGCACCGGAACCCTTACAGACATTCGACAAAGCACCGAACAGCCTGGAGGACTGAAGGAATCAAGAATGGAAGCCACTCCAAATATCCCGAAGGATGGGACAATCATATCCAAAGTATTCCAGACTCTTCTATAAAAGAACGAGGCTGAAATACTTTGGAGGGGGTATCTGTGGGCGTATAAAACTGCCTATAGGTCCCTTAACACAGCTCGACGATGCCGATTCGACAAACCGACCATCGGACGACGTATCCAAACACGACTGTTAGTCCACAACGCCAAAGCCAAGCGATACGCGACGAAGCGGATTAACGAGGCTACGAAGCTAATGAACCGCACGCAAACGACGGAATAAATCCACTCGCGTGCGGAATCAAGCTAACGGGTTGAAGAGTCAACGAGTCATCCAACCAAGGGCGGACTCGGACGAATCACGATCGAATCAAGATCAGTTTCGGACTCGAACTCAGAAGCGGATTTACTGCCAAATCAGGAATCCGACTTACTGCCAAATCAGATCAACCAATCAGAGTCTCAATCAACCGAATCACGGACAAAACCGAAAAACGGACACAACTCAAAAACTCGGAAAACCCACACCTAAGGGGGCTCGGCTTAAGCCGAGCCACCCATAGGTGGCTCGGCCAAAGCCGAGCCACCCATGGGTGGCTCGGCCAAAACCGAGCCACTATAGGTGCCGACCAGATCTGTGCCGGGACAATTCAGAGTGCCTATAAATAGGGGCTTGCGTTCATTTGTTCAAGGCGTTGGAATTTTGAGGCGAAGCCCTGCTGGATTCAAGACTCAGATCTAAAAAAGATCCAAGCTTTTGGACCTTCGATGACTTGCTCTTCCAGATCTGGTGTGCTCGGCGTCGTCAACGCCAAATAAGGCAGAGTTCTGTGTGCATGTGGAATACGAACGTTATACTACCAGCAATCTAACCAGTACGACGTGATTACGCGGATCTCATACAAGCCTTACTAGATCCTATATGATACACCCAACCTTATCCAGCATAAAACCTTAATATGCTAAACTTATTATCACTCTTAGATAGACGACAAATTTAATTCTTTCATTCACTCACATACAATTAGTTTGAAAGATCCATTTGCATCTAGTGAGTAAAGGTACAAGAATATGAATGCGATCTCGAGTTTTACCCCCCCCCACGCTGATCAATAGCCTGTTTAAGGAATCTTTAGACCCTCAGCCAGCCAGTCGTACTGCGTAGATCCGACCGGATCTAGATCTCGCGGTGGTCCACGGATAAACCCCGGCGCAGGCAAACAACCCACGCAAGCGAGCGACCGCAAAACAGGAGCTCGTGATTTGTTCGACACAAAAGGAGAAAGTTGTAATTTTTCTTTTCTTTTATTTGATTTTCATTGTAACCGGATCTTACAAAAAGACCGGATCTTTGTAACTAAAAAAGCGGTTATTCAAGATAACAATGGAATCAGTGAAGAAAGCAACGATTTTCCCCGCGAACAGTCGTTTGACCCTCCGTCGAGCCATGTGAAAAGTTCTATTCATTCGAAACCGTTAAATTGATATGAGTGGATGAAGGGTCAAACAATGACGGGTTTACCCCAAACTTGATATGTTGGGGTTTTAGAATATGTAGATCAAGTTTAACGGAGCAGATTATCGATAATATAGCTCAATCATGTGATTTTAGGCTGTGTCCTTAGATAATTATCTAAGACGTCACCTTAGGAACACTTCTCCCATATATATATACTAGTTATTGTGCACGTGCAATGCACGTGGTTAAATATCAAAATTATTATTTTTCGTTTATTTTCTTACTATAAAATAAGTCAGATTCATTTTGAATTAAAATCTATAAACATGGTTTGTTACATTTTCCATAAATTTTATTTAAATATTTTATGAAATAGATGATTAATTTTGAAAATATCTTCGAGCCAGGAATAAATAACTAACAAGTTTGCAAGGGAAGATAGGGTAAAATAGTACATTTTTAAGAATAATTAATCTTTATTTAGTTTGTTTATAATGATAGGATCTCATTATTAACTAACTACAATGCTTAACACCTTATTTTTTTTGATGCTCAAGACAGGCAAAGAACCCATGTGAGTCCTTATCGTAATGAATGTTATACAGTTTAAGTACAAAGGAGATGGAGAATGGTGTAGTTTGTCAGGGGAAACTCCAGCAGCTTAATTTGATATGTGGATATATAATAGATGGAGATGGAGAATGGTGGTTTTGAAAATAGTGGGTGTGTGTGGGTAATTACTATGGTTTTTTTTTATGGTTTTCTTCGTTCATTTTCAAGATATCTGTAGTCCTGTGGAATATATATATATATATATATATATATATATATATATATATATATATATATATATATATATATATTATATAATTATAATAGTAATGAGAAAAATGAGTATGCTTGGTACGCAGCACAAATTTTGTGCTTGTCAGTGAGGTGTCTCATCTCATCCATCATTCAATTGGGGTTCATATTCAACCCATGTGAATATAGTCCCCGCATTTGAATGAGTGGAGGATAATATGGCCACTCACTTACCAAGCAAAAATTTGTGGCTTAATACCAAGCATACCCATATTTCTCTCTCTCTCTCTCTCTCTCTCTCTCTATATATATATATATATATATAATATATATATATATATATTATTATATATATATATATATATATATATATATATATGAGTATAAACCAAATGTCCAACAATAAATATATTTTAGCATGCAAAACTAATTATATTTAGAATAAGTATAATTAGTAAAAAAATCAATATATAATATAATTAATTATTTAAAATAATCTAATATAATCTAATAAGAAGAAAATAACAAAGACAAATACATGTAGAAGGAGATAAAAGCGCTACGAAAATTGTTGTAGTTTCTTGGCATATAAACATTGGTATGTGATGTTGCATGTGAGAGAAAAACAATTGTAAATAGAGTTCTATTTAAATAATAATAGTATAATTAAACTTTAAAACTAATTATGTAATGTCATGAACTACTTGAATTTTAGTTAGTGAGAGATCGCCACGTTGTGTCCTTATATCGCAACTGTTTATTTTAATTTTCCTTTTTTATAAATTTCAAAAGGATTTTGTCTCTTTAATTTGTTTGGTAGATTTTGCAAATACTTCGTCCACATTATGTACATTTGTAGGTCTGCGTTGTTTTGGGGTTCGACCTATGCAGCGGACATTATTTGACGTCCACATTATGTACATTTGTAGGTCTGCGTTGTTTTGGGGTTCGACCTATGCAGCGGACATTATTTGACTCACTAATTTGTTTGGTTTGTGCATATACGCCGGTTCGACCTATGCAGCGGACATTATTTGACTCACTAATTTGTTTGGTTTGTGCATATACGCCATTCATATTGTATATATTTATAAATTAATTTGGCATTTAATAAATTTATTTAGGTTTACATTTCAATTTAAACTATATCATTATCTTCATACTATGTATATCCAATAAGAATTCATCAATTTATCAACTTACTCTTACTTAATGGATTAATTTGAATTTCAATGGTCTTTTTGTCTACCAAAAGATTTTCCCAAACTCGTGCTTTTAAAGAAAGTATGATTGATTTGACCTAATATTTGTTATGTGAAGAGTGGGAGAGGGGGGACCTAGGAAGGAGATTATACACGGAGTGAAATGAAACAGATGGACGTTGGATGTGTTTGTGATAATTTGTTGGATGTATCAAGAGGAGCTCACTTGTCAAAAGTGTTAATGCACGAAAAGAAACTTTCCAAACTGCTGATTTTCTTCTTTATGAAATGTTTCCATCAGAAGAAGATCAAATTTTCACTCCTTATAGAATATCTAAGTTTTGTGGGGATCACTTAAGGTAGAATTAGAGAAGTGTGAACTATTTTCTATCTTGGTATGTGTATCTTTGGCACTATAACCTATTAAAGTTCGAATAAAACGTTTTATCTATGCCTTTATATAAGTGCCCATAAACACCAAGTTATTGTTAACAATTTGATTATATAACGATTAATTTATTAATTTAATTAGAGTTACATAATTAACTATTTCAATTTTTATTTAAAACCACTCTAGATGAGATATAAATGTTATATGTAGCTAACAAGCACTAAAAAAATGTTTAATTATAATCTTATACTATTAAAAATCTAATGTTTAATATAATTTTGTACTATTATAATCTAATCGGAGTTGCATTATTACATAAATATTAATTTCTATAGTATATTAAAACATCATACACTTGATAATCTAATACTATTATAATAATTGATTTATTTATTTAATAATCTTAAGAATAACTATACTATAGTATAAACACTTAATTAATATGATTTAATAAGATTGGGAGTTATGATCATAGAGTAAATTGGTTAATTTCATGAAAGGTGAAGGATATTTTTGAGAAATGAAAGTTTTTCTAGTGCTCCCTCTTTTAAAGGGAGAATGATATATTAGACTGAATCATACAGATCCGATTTATTGTCAACCCGACCCGCTTTGGAGCCGTATCCTTATCCCCGCAAATCGCGGGTAATGACAGGGGCATTTCGGGAAACGTAAATTCCCGCGTCTTCTATAAATTTAACACGAGAAAAAGGAGGGGGCCCTATGGCGGCAGTCACTCTCGCTCAACACTGACAAAAGTTCTAGGGTTTCTCCCAAAATTTTTGTTCGCGATTCTGAAACAGTGAAACCCCAGGGCTTTTGGTTCGGGATTCAGGTAAGATAGTGCCGATTCACTTCTTAGTTTTCTAATTTGAGGGAATTGTGTTGAATCTGAATTGGATTGTCGAGATATAATGATCAAAATGCCATTTTTCTGGATTTTTTTGTTGGCTTTTTTGTTCACTTTGATTTCCCTCTTCATTGAGTTGGAAAAGCCTCGAATTTCTGTAAGTGGTTTTGGCCCATGAGAATCCGACCCGGTTGTTGGGAATATCTCACGTTGTGGGATTTCTCTTCTCCTCTATAACACAACAATCTCCATCGGAGTCCCATAAAAAGGAATCACTCTCTCGATCCTTCAATTTCGGGGATTGGCTCGGAGTTTTTTGAGGATCGTGTCGTTTTTTTGTTGTTTTGGTACACAATTTCTTCTTTTGACGTTGTGTTGAAGCCCTAAAGCTAGGGGTTTTGGTTCGAGTAGTTTGTGTCGATTCATTGCGTACTTTTTTAATTCTAGCTTTCTTTTTTCTGTTTTGTGGTTGGGAATTCAAGGGAGTTGCGTTAATTCTGAAACCAAAATGTCATTTTGATGGAGTTTTTATGCATTGTTGGCATTTTATTAGTTTCTACTGAGTTTGTTTTGTGCTTTTTGCACTCTTATTCCTCTCCATGTTGAATTGGAATACTCTAGAATTTAGGGGATTTTTTAATTTATCTCTGATTATTGTTTCAAATTTTCCTTTTGTTGGAAATTTAAGAGGATTTTTGTTGATTGTGTACCGGATTAATGGAATTCCTGAAACAAAATTTCGTTTCACTGGAGTTTTTATGCAGTATTCGGGTGTTTTATTCATGCATTGAGTTGGAAAACCTAGAATTTGGGGATTTGTTGAGGTTTCAGATCTGTCTTAGTTGTTTTTACGAAAGAAAAAAAGTCCTATTTCTTTTCACTTTTTAATTGGGAATCCTTCTATTTCCACATTTATGTATTTAATTTTCTCAACCTATCCCTTGAGTGCTCTTTTGCAGATAGAATATCTACTTTATTTTGATTTTGGTTTTTTTAACTTTAAAATAAAGCTTCTTTGCTTGGGAGGTTCTTGGAGGGTTTTTAGTATTTATACTTTCTTTTTGTTTCTTTGGCATGTTACTTTTCCTCAGCACTTTCCTTTGCTGTTCCTTCTCATCTTTTTCTTTTTGTAATTTTTGACTAGTCTGCATACAGACACATGCTTGAACGACAAGCATTCAATCTCCTCATGTTCTATTTGCTGAAGTTTTTAAGAACCCACTGACTTCTACTCTCCATTAGCAGCAGAAGTCAGCACTTTTAGTCCTCAGCAGTTCTTTGTAACTCTATAATATTATAAATATTCTCTCTAATTTAGGACTTTGTGATTGTTGTGGGAGTTTATTTTGAGACAACATGGTAATCATGATAAACTTCGGTACTTTTTGCTTTTCAATTGTTCATAATCAAATGAGAATTTGATCGAACTGTCTATTATTGTACTTTCTTTTGTGTGGCATGACAATCAAATTGCATTAGGTTTATTTGAATAAATTTAAGGGGTAAATTCTCCAAATCTAATAGATGAAAATTTATTTTCAGATTATCCTTCGATGCAAGTGCAGAGTCATGATAGACTAGCATTTCATATTCACTTGTCATTGTTCTCAACAAATTTAAATTCATTAGGACTGATAGCTTACATGTCATTGAAGGATTAAACCGTGAATTTGTGCAAAATGTCTGAGTAACATTCCCTTGTGTGGTACTTCTTCACATACTTTGTGATGACTGTGATGGCACATTTTGAGATTATCTGATGGATCGTCTCTTAGTGTTGTGTGCGTTTATATGGGATGCTGTGGCATCTTTTGAAATGTGCACTTTTCATTTTCCCCCTTATTGGTGATTGATGTTTCTTGATTATGATTCTTATTTCTTTGGTTTATGTTGAAGTATCAAGTTTTGGGGATAATTCATATCAAACTGCAATATTTTTTTATACTTTCACCGAGAAGATTTAGTACTTGGTAATACATTATAGTTAAGTAATATCTAGTACAAAGTTATTTAATCACCTTTAGTTTTCGGTCCAGATGTTGGCTCTCAGATTAATCTGCTTTGGAAACATTCCCTCGAAGGTTTTCTCAAGCACACACGTTAAGTACAGACATCTCTTAGTTTTGCTACCCCAAAACATTCAATATTGTGCTTTGTTCATTCTTTTCTAGTCGGCACTGTGTGTTCATGCTGACTGAGCTCTTGTACTCTTTTTGTGCAAAAATCATGTATGTAGTGTCACTGCACTTATTCTCTTGGCGAGTTCATCATGATTGAAAGTATTTCTGGTTTTCCTACCAACTTCAGGTTGTATCATCTTTCATCAGAAGTTGCAGGTTTGGTGCTTGTCTTGTGAAACCTTGCCCGATAGTTTTGGCATTCAGCAAGGTTACAGGCTTTCACTATTCTCGCACTATACCAGTTATGTCTGGTGAAATCCCCATGAGTGTTGCAGATGGTAACACATTTCATGAGCCTCAAAGAACCTTTCAAGTTGTAGTTGCTGCCACGAGGGAAATGGGCATAGGCAAAGATGGTAAATTGCCCTGGAGGCTGCCATCTGATCTCAAATTTTTCAAGGAGATCACAATGAGTACGTCAGATCCCTTGAAAAAGAATGCCGTGATAATGGGTAGAAAAACTTGGGAAAGTATTCCCACACAGCACAGACCTTTGCCTGGCCGCCTGAATGTTGTTCTAACTCGTTCGGGAAGTTTCGATATCGCGACAGCAGAGAATGTTGTTATCTGCGGGAGCGTAAATTCTGCCTTAGACCTGCTAGCTGCATCCCCTTATTGCTTCTCAACCGAGAAAGTGTTTGTTATAGGAGGTGGGCAGGTGTTAAGGTGAGTTCATGGCTGACTCCTGTAATAATTATTGACAACATTGTCTTTGGTATCAAGTGTTTGCAATTCTTGTTTACAGGGAAGCTCTGAATGCACCTGGATGTGAAGCCATTCATTTCACTGACATAGAAACAAGTATTGATTGTGACACTTTCATCCCTCCAATTGACTTGACTGTTTTTCAGCCATGGTATTCATCGTTCCCAGTGAAAGAGAACAACCTTAGGTATTCTTTCAGGACATATGTGCGCGTGCGGAGTTCTGCTACTGACCTTAGTTCTCTGCAAAATGGGGAAACAACCACTACTAATTTAAAGATGGATAAGTTTGAAATTGAGCAGTTTTCATTTCTTCCGAAAATGATATTTGAAAGACATGAAGAATACATGTATCTCAGACTTGTTCAAGATATCATAGCAAATGGTGCTGAAAAGAATGATAGGACTGGGACTGGGACACTCTCAAAGTTTGGCTGTCAGGTTTGTGCTGGTCTGGTGAAAGTTTCTTCATTGTTGTGTATCTTTTTAACTTAACAAAATATCATTTTATTTTTTATGCTTATGCCATTCAGATGCGGTTCAATTTGAGAAGATCTTTTCCATTGCTCACAACTAAGGTAATACCTATTAGCTGAACCTGGATCTATACTTAGTGAATACAAATTGATTACATATTAATAGGTATGTATATCAGCACAAGACAATTTATTTCTTCTGGATTTGTTTCATTCAGGAGTTCTGTATGGCACCACCTTTCCAGGTGGCTGGACGTTAGTTTGCATTAGACATTAGTAATATGATAATAACTTAGTCAAGATCAAAACAATCCCCACAGTTAGTAACTTAGTAATAATCTCTGAGATATTGGAGAAACCTCTTATGCATTGAACATGTGAAAGAGTAAAAGCAGCCCATTAATTCAAAAAATTCCTTTAAAACTATTCAGTTTAGGTGATTACTTACTGTGAGGTCCAAATTGCCTCCTTTAACTGGGTGCAAATAAGTGTATCTAATTAAGGTACATGACTTAGATTGATACACCTTTAAATTTACCTATGAAAGAGTTTGTTTTTATGTGAATCTATGGCTTCCAATCCACAGTCTGATATCTCTGAACTTATACCATCAGACTTGGCTTGCTTTCTGTGGTAATGTTTGGTTTGACTGAAAAGGTTTCCCCCCTTGCTTATGTGGCATTGCCTATAGCCTCTTCTTTTGTTCCTGCTTTCTCTTAGTAGCTGTGAGTATTAACTTACTGTTGGGTTCAACAGAAAGTATTTTGGCGAGGAGTTGTTGAAGAACTATTGTGGTTCATCAGTGGTTCCACAAATGCAAAGGTAACTTCATTACTATTAAAGGGTACGTTCTGTATTCTACTTGGTACTATTTCATATTATCATTTAAAGCCTTAAGTGGAATTTCTCTATTTCTCGAATGTTTTATTTGTACAAAGTTCTTATGAATTTGGTTGTTTTTTAATGCACACTAGATAAGAGGTATGTCTATAATACATGTGAAAAAATTATATTCTTAAAAACATAGTTTGAAAAAAAAACAATATTAACTAATCTAAAAAAAAACATCATTTTATTGGAGCGATAAATATAGGACAACTCCAGCACAATGTTATTTCCATATAATTTTTGGTTTATTTATTGAATTAAATATTAACATGTTATTACCAAAAAAATAACATGATATACTTTTAAATTTAAGTAGTGAGTTGAAAATTCGTTTTGTTGCTATAGTCTTGTATCTTTATTTTCTCTTTTCTATACCATTTTAGTTGTCATTCATTTGAATGCAAAAAAGATCTACTCGAGAGTCAATTTTATATTAATCTTCTCTAATTGACCTTGGACATTACAATGTTAATTAATTTTTTAATTTAAGATTTAATATTTGAAATAAAATATGAATCAATTTTCTATTACTCTTCTGCAATTGTCCTCGACCATTGCAATGTTAATTATAATTTTTAATTTAAGATTTAATATTAATAGAAGTATTTGAGTGTTTCAAATTTATCATCTGTATTTTTGTTTTTGCTATCTCTCATATCAAATGTCTTATTTATAATTTGATTGTAAATTTCGATTGTTTATAGAGTTGTGGTTGGTTATGAGATAATTTATTTGAGACCAACTTGCACCTAAATGAACCATAATATTCTCCCAAAACAATACTATGGATAAGGTTCTTTATTAAGTAGTATAGATAACTTGTTAAAAATAACAGTAAATTAAGTTCTGCTCTTGGCTTTTAGTTCCACATGTCGAGCTATTCTGCTGTGAGCATGATGTTTTATTGGTTTGGTTCCTATATGTTTCATCTCTATGCCCCAATTTCAATCCCCAAGTCCCTTTGTTCCATAAACCAGTTAGTGGATTCCATGCCACTGACTCATCTTAACAGATATGTTTGTACTTTGCCACATTCTGTGTTCTTTTGGTTGAAGAGGAAGATTGTAAGAGGCTTTCAGCTTAGTCTAGCAAAATTTGTTTCTGCTATGATTCTTAATATACTGCACATTAGTCAAGTAATACTCAAACTGTTATTAAAGATTACAAAGAACATTTTCACTATTTTAAAAGAAATTTGCCATGCACTGTATTTGTTTCAGGGAACTGCTATGAATTTCCATTAAGTACTCACTTATGTTTCATCTTGAGCATGCAAATAGTTTAGCCTCTTGACCACTAGTTTGCCCTCACCCTTCCTCAAATTTTCATAAAACTGGCGCAGAACCTACCATATACCCTGATCTTCTTCTTGGGAGTGACTTGTAATGAATACAATCTAATATAGTTTTCTGCAAAATGACGATAGTTTCTTAAAATTACGAACATATTAAGTTTCAGGTACAAAGTTTAAAGGGAAACTCATTCAGTTATATGTTGTCATTAAGATGCATATGGGCAGAAGGGATGCAATGACAAGTGATCCAAATAATACACACAAATAAGCCTCAAAGAGGATATACACAAAGGGATTACAAAGGAAGAAATTGAATTTGGATATGTAGTTTCAGAGTTGTATCTGAGATTAGAACTGGAATTAGTTGACTTTTATTGGAAGAATATAATAGGCAAGTCAAAGTATTAGGTAGGATCAGAGGATAACTGAGGCATATCATGGATAAACATTAATAATGAAGGAAATTGACATAGAAAACTTAATAAGAAAGCATATGGAAGTCTGTTAAGAAAGCTCTGTGTTCTTCTTGCCCATTTATTTTCTACAGTTGTTTCTGCTATTTTTTCTGAAGTGATCAGTTGCATACGTTTGCATGCAGACACTTGAATGATATTGTTTCATGTTTCAGTTGCACACCAATGCGTAGGGGAAATATCTTTTGTAATCCAGCCAATATATTCTTTCTGTTGTATTCTAGATGTTGCATATGTTTGAGTCCTATTTTTGAGGTCTTTTTTTTTTTGTTTTGCTTCTATTGAATAGGTTTTACAGGAAAAGGGTATACATATTTGGGATGGAAATGCATCAAGAGGATATCTTGACAGGTCTGCTTCACGACCAACAACCTTCTTCTCTTTTCCTTAGTGCAGCCTTCTATGTGTGTTTAGGTAGCAAATTGACTCACTCATATTTCCTCTTCCAGTATTGGTTTAACTCTTAGAGAAGAAGGAGATTTAGGGCCAATATACGGGTTTCAGTGGAGGCACTTCGGTGCTGAGTAAGTTACTATAAAATTTACTTGTTAACAATGAAAGTTGAATATCGTACGGTTATCAATCTTATCACACCCAGAAGTTCTGAAGCATGATCACATATTCTCAGATACATTAACATGCATGCTGACTACTCTGGGAAAGGATTTGATCAGCTGCTGGATGTAATTGATAAAATAAAGAATAATCCAGATGATCGGCGCATAGTTCTTTCAGCTTGGAATCCTTCAGATCTTAAACAAATGGCTCTTCCTCCTTGTCATATGTTTGCACAGGTCAGTAATAATTCAGGCACTGATTCTTTATGGAGATCCGACGACTACTAAGTACTCTATCCATTGTAAGCCTTAAAGTTGGTTTTCTTGATTATGCATCTGGCTTCAGTTTCATAAGCCTTGATGGGGGCTGGATATTAAGTGATGGTGATGTTTAAACATTCTGCTAATAAGTTCTCTGTTCTTTTCCCTTGATTTGTTTCTTTCCCCCCAGCAGCCCCATCTAAATTATGCTTCATCTTTCTAGGTCTATAAAGTCGAAACTTCCTCTGGATCAATACTACTTGAAGCCAGATTTTGATTTTATTTCTTCTATATCTGACTTCTGTTTACGTCTTATGAGCTAGAAGCTCTGACATGCAAAAATGCTTGTGAGGAGTTGCTGCTTTTTTTCTTTTTGAAAAAAGTCAGTGATTTCATAGTCCGTTCTTTTGTTGAAAGATCAACTGCTCCTGGTGTTTTGAATAACTTCGATTGAATTCTACATGTTGCTTTTTTGTTTTTCTTTGTTAGAATGGCCACCCATCCAAATCTATAATTAGTAGAAAGTCTATATAGATTTGCTTTACATTTTGTTTATAGTTCAAGCAGAACTTGAATTTCTCTTAATAAAGCTTAGATATAGAGCATCAGCATGAATGGATCAAAGTTGTATTCAAGCATATTAAAACTTCTTGTGGAAATTGAATTAAAAGACCAATGTTTCGTTCCTCTTAATATAAAGTCACTTTATTTGTCTTTTGGACAATTATTTGTGCTTTTTGATAGTCATTACAGTTTCTGTAATTTTGCCTTAGTGTTGGTATTTAGATTATGTGGGAATTTTTGCAAGCATAAACTAAATGCATCTCTATTGGTTTAGCAAGAATGATGATGGGTTCTATACAGAGTATGGCCTATCTAATGAGACAGAGAATAACAAAATCCATGTACTCTCTAAACAATGACTTGTTCCAACATTTCAACCAAAATAATATTATATTAATGGTTGGAAACTTATTCCATACGTGGATGATCTTTCGGTACTAGTGTCCTAGTAGCTCCAGCATCGGCTTATGACCCAATAAGCAAAAAATTCATCCCTGCTAGAAAACAGATATATTGTTTCGGACAGTGAATAAAAGAAAGATTCATATGGAAAGGGGGATCTTTAGATGCCAATACAAAAAATCCTTGAGCTATTTTCTACCTGCAAAAAATTGATAATCTGTGACAGTAATGATAGAGATTGTGGTTCCAAGAGAGCTTTTCAGTGGATAATTAAACTTTAATATCAATACAAGTCAGAAGATTAAGTGATGAACAAACCGAATGGTGGGAAGATCGTTTACCAAGGTAAATGTTTTATGAGACTATTTAAAATTTCTGTGAGACATAAAAGGTGGCTTCCTGACCATATTCCTATAACCTTTAACAACCATCATTGTGAAGTTGGAAGGTTCATGAAATAGTTGAAATCTACGTGAATGGATGATGAAGATTGTATTATTGCATGAGATCTTGATCACGCAGTTGTTAGATTAACAAAGAAAACTAATAAAATTGCATATATATATATATATATATATATATATATGTGTGTGTGTTAAGGGAAGGCAAACACAAATCATCAGAAGTAGATCTTTTAGAAGTCTTTCGTTTTATCCAAGTGTATGAAAAATTTAGTACGTTTAAATTTGACATTCAGATCATGACATGTGGAGGGCGACTATAAAACCGGGACACGAAATACCCATATAAGCTATATAGCTTATCTGGTACACTGGTTTTCGTTTAAAGTAAAAAAGATAGTATAACACCTTTGGTAGTATGAAAAAAATCTTGATTATTTCTAGTGTCGGTGTTCACTTTTAATTTTTTGAAGCATTTATCTCTACATTTTGGTTTGGTCAAGGGTTTATGCTCTTGTTATAGTTTTTTTTGTGTTTTCTTTCATCTACAAATTGAATTCATCATCGTTTAAGTTGGATCAGGCTTTACCTGGAGAAAAAGTGTGTTCATTACCTTTTTTGAACTTTTGTTTTTTGCTTGGTGAACAATTTGCATTGCCTGATTGTTAAATTTTAAAGTTCAGCTGTCCTTTGATTTCATTGGATATTAATCCTTCTGACTTGTAATTTACTTCTTCCCACAGTTCTATGTGGAGAATGGGGAGTTATCGTGCCAAATGTACCAGCGATCTGCAGACATGGGTCTTGGGGTGCCGTTTAATATCGCATCTTATTCTCTTTTGACATGCATGATTGCTCAAGTTTGTGGTACATTTCTACCAGTCTGGCCTTCTCTTTTTTCTTCTTAAACATATTAATATTTTCCCATGAGTATTAGCTAATGTCTTTTATGCTTATCTCCTATCTAAATTCTTTTAAATTTGTTGACATATTAATATAGTTAGGGAGTTATTTGTAAGATGTGTTTGTAGGGGCCTATATAAGCCCATATTATCTCAGTAATAAACTAGGATTTTTCATTCAATTTGGTATCAGAGCCAAACCCATAGCCGCAGCCTCCCCTTTCTCCCTGCCCCACGTCCGCCTCAACACACCAACCCGCCGCCTAGCCTTCCATGTCGTGCCCATCTAACGCCTCCGCTCAAGACCCGCGTAGGCCACCGAACGCCAATCCGCCCATCTCACCAGAATCCACGACCAGCCCCCTGCTTGCTCGCTTACCTCACTCTAGCTCAAATCACGGCCCCCGACCCCTGCCCTTCACCGTGGGCTCAAAGCCCGCAAAGCTCACATGGACCCCGCTATGCTCAAACCGTCGACCCCCTCCTCGCTCGCGCTCAAAGCCACCCTAACCAGTGGGCAGATCCGCGCTCAAAGCCCCCCCGACCCCCTGGCTGTCACCCCGAACCCACTTGCTGTCACTCTGCGAACCGCCCTGTTGCTCATCTAGCCAACTGGCCACCCAGCCGAAGCGCCCCTACTGCCTCCTCCTGTCGAACCTAGAGTTTGACATGGATTCTCTCGATATTTCAGTCCTATAACTGATGAGAGGAAGAGTGTATATCTCACGATGATGAGATATATCATTTTCGATTCTTGTTTCCTTTGAGAAACAAGAATTTTTGTTGAGATCTTACTCTTTTGTACAGCAGAAGTGCTGCCGAAAATTTTCACTGCGCACAACAAGGGTTTGAAGAAAAGGTGAACATGTGTTGGATCTGAAGCCTGATCGATGGAGGAGATCATCAAGAAGTTGAACCCCGCGAAGGTGTCAACTTTGATGAAGTTGATGAAGTTGTCAGCTGATGAGAGCGCGACAGGACCATCGAAGAAGTTGGAGCTTCCGATCATCGATTTGAAGCTTGATGGACCGGGTACTTACCTGAGCTGGTTACGACGGGTGAGATACACATTTGTAGGGAGAAACCTGGAGGGTTACTTGACAGGAGAGAAGACAGAACCGGATGAGGGCTCGGAGGGAAGAGATGAGTGGAAGTCGACTCATATGTTGGTGTACATCTGGCTCCTCAACTCATTGGTCCAGTCGATCGCCGCCACAGTGGATGGCATTAAGAAGGTGAAGGACGTCTGAGAGAAGTTGAGGAGGACCTATGATGGAGTGGGGAATAACCTGAGGGTGTTCCAGATCAAGGGAGAGATCGACGCCACAGCTCAAGGAGAAAGGACTGTACAAGAGTATGCCACAGAGCTGAAGCGTCTGTGACTAGATTATGATCATTTCTCATCTCGGGCTGCAAGGACCCGGAGTGTAAAGAGAGGTCTTTTTACAAGAGAGGACTATGGTGTTCCTCAAGGGGCTGACATCGGAGTTTGCTCAGAGGACTGTATTGCTACTAGCTCAGCCAAAGATTCCCACACTTGAGAAGACAGTCTCGGTCATGATTCAGGAGGAGACTCGCATTAGGCTGCAGGCAGGGACATGTAGACTTCCTGTGGTGAAGTCAACACTGGTGGCCTCTAACAACACTGGATCCAAGGGGGAAACTCGACAGTGCTACAACTGCTGTGAAGTGGGTCATCTAAGGTATGTTTGCACCAAGCCACCTAAGGAAGGAGATTCTGGTGGACGTGGACAGTTCAGAGGTCATGGTCGTGGGGGTAGACGAGGTGAAAGAGGAGCAGACAACCGGGCGAATCTGATAGTAACAGAGGGAGAAGAAGCTGAGGTGGTCTTTACTGAGGAAGATCATGCGCTTCTAGAGATACTCAGGAGAAAGCAGAGAGTAGCAGGAGATGGAGACAGGAGGAGTGGGATTGAGGAGGCATCCATTTCGTTCTTCGCCAGAGGAAACACTGCTACTTATGCTCATCCGACCAAATGTACTGATGACATACATGCTCTTGCTTCTATGTCTCCCGATAGATCATCAGAATGGATAGTTGACTCTGGTACGTCTCGACATATGACAGGTAATGCTAGTGAGTTTTCATCATATGTTCTCCTAGCATCGGCTGATAGTATCCAAACAGTTGATGATACATTTCTGCCAGTGGTTGGTAAGGGTACTGTCAATTGTACAGGTTCTGTAACTTTGTTCAATGTTTTGCATGCTCCTTCATTTTCAGTAAATCTTTTGTCCATTAGTGCTATTATCCTCTAACTATTGTTTCTTTTAACATTCCCAAGGTGATCTATAAGGAGAAAGTGACAGGACAGAGACTTGAGATTGGCACATGGCGTAGTGGACTGTGGTACCTGGATTGTGAAGGGCTGGACTCAGCATTAGTATCTATGGTAGAGAGAGAGCAGGAGTAGGATCTGAGATGAGTGTTGAGAGTATGTTGCTTCATCACCAGCGTTTGGGACACTCATCCTTTAGTGTTTTGAGTAGGTTGTATCCATCTCTATTTGAGAAAACAAATAAGCAGAACATTGTGTGCGATGCATGCGAGTTTGGAAAACTTACTAGAAGTTCTTATGTAAGTTCTGGTCATAGGAGTTCTCGTGCATTTGACCTGATACATTTAGATGTTTGGGGATCTTGTTCCACAAGTTCTATGAATGGATATAAGTATTTTGTTACCTTTATTGATTGTTTCTCTCGCGTTACTTGGTTATACTTGATGAAAAATAAGAGTGAAGTGTTTGGTTGCTTCCAAAACTTTCATAGGTATGCTCAGACTCAATACGATGAAAAATAAGAGTGAAGTGTTTGGTTGCTTCCAAAACTTTCATAGGTATGCTCAGACTCAATACGGTGCTGTGGTGAATGTATTGAAATCTGATAATGGGACAGAGTATATTAGCAAAGCGTTTGGGGAATACTTGTCAGCTCCGGGAATACATCACCAGACTACATGTCCATACACACCAGCTTAGAATTGGGTAACGGAAAGGAAGAACAGACATCTTTTAGAGGTTGCTAGAAGTATGATCATCTCCATGAATGTCCAAGAAACATTGTGGGGGCAAGCAGTGTTGACCGCAACAGCACTGATCAACAGAATATCCTCGAGAGTGCTGGATTGGAAGTCTCCGTGTGAGACGTTGAAGGGAGATAATAGTGGGCTTCTTCCACTCAAGATATTTGTTTGTGTGTGTTTTGTGAAGGACAACAAGCCATCCGTCGGGAAGCTTGCCCCTAGAGCGGTGAAGTGCATTTTTGTGGGATATTTTGTTACTCAGAAGGGATATGTTTGCTGGAGCCCTGTGGAGAAGAGGTTGTTTATGAGTATGAATGTGCACTTTCGAGAACTCGAGTCATATTACATCCGGAAAGTAACTTCATCTGTTGGTAACTTGTCCGATACTGGAAGTATGAGGCGATGGGGAGAATGGTGAGAGGTCGGTGAATATGGAGAAATCAATTTCTGTATCGATTCCTTGGGAAGGGGAATTTGTTGAGGAGGAGCAGGAGAATGAAGAAGAGGAGAATGAAACAAGAGGTGTTTGGCCCACGGCTTAGGGGGAGCTACTTATCTATAGTAGGAAGGAAAAGCAAATTACGGGAACAGTACCTACAGTGCCACTGGTGCTAAGTCTCTTGCCAACGCCTGCCCCGACTCCTGAGACACCTACACCACTACCAGATTCCTCTCAAGGTGATATCATTCCTCTCCTTACTCCTACACCAATATCAGTACGGAGGACTACTCGTAGTAACGTGGGAAATCCTTTCGATAGATATGGTTGGGATCTTACCCAGTTTGTATCATATTCTAACATCCACCCTACACATGGAGCATTCATTACATCATTGGATTCTGTTACTGTATCTAATAACTGGCAGGTTGCTAAGAAGGACCCAAAGTGGAAAGCGGCTATGCACGAGGAGCTAGAGGCTCTTGAGAAGAACCACACTTGGGAATGAATAAAACTACCAGGAGGAAAGAGAGCAGTTGGATGCAAGAGGTATACATTGTGAAGCATACTCCAGATGGACAAGTTGACTGTTACAAGGCTCGTCTGGTGGCTAAAGGGTACAGTCAGACATATGTCATCGACTATGATGAGACCTTTGCACCAGTGATGAAGATGAGCACTGTTAGGACCTTAATCTCTCTGGCAGTAAATGGTGGATAGAAGCTACACCAACTAGATGTGAAGAATACATTTCTTCATGGAGATCTAGTAGAAGAGGTATACATGGAAATATCATCAGGATTCGACACAAATCAGATAGTGGGTAAGGTCTGCAGATTGAAAAAGTCTATCTATGGGCTGAAACAGTCTCCTCGTGCTTAGTTCGATAGATTCAGGAGGGCTATGATAGGTATGGGGTACTAACAGATTAACGCCGATCATATCGTGTTCTTTCGACGAAGTGAAAGCCACATTACCATGTTTGCGGTATACGTGGATGATATGATTATTACAGGGGATGATGATAAGGAGATTGCCCAACTCAAAGTGAGACTGAGTAAGGAATTCGAGATGAAAGATTTTGGCTTGTTTCGATACTTTCTTAGAATAGAGATAGCTCGAGGAGCGGAGGGGATTGTCCTATCCCAAAGGAAGTATGCACTAGATCTTCTCAAGGAGACAGGGATGTTAGGGTGCAAACCTGCAACTACACCGATTGACCAGAAGTTCAATCTGGGTGTTGAGGCTGGAGAACCAGTTGATCGTGATAGATACCAGAGATTGGTGGACAGGTTGATCTATCTGAGTCACACACGTCCTGATATTTCTTTTGCAGTGAGCGTGGTGAGTCGCTACATGCATGATCCAAGGAAGGGTCATATGGACGCAGTGTACCAGATTCTGAGGTGTTTAAAGAGTGCCACCGGAAAAGGGCTAATATTCAGGAAGAATGAATATATGAGCATTGAGGGTTATTGTGACTCCGATTGGGCTAGCTGTGCTGATGACAGGAGGTCCACCTCAGGATATTGTATCTTTATAGGAGGCAACTTGGTCTCGTGGAAGAGCAAGAAGCATTCAGTGGTGGCGAGATCAACAGCTGAAACAGAGTATAGAGCTATGGCCTTGGGAGTTACGGAGTTATTGTGGTTGAAGAGTATTCTGGTGGAGCTGAAGCTGGATCAAGGAGCAAAGATGAAGCTGTGGTGTGATAACAAGTCAGCCATCAGTATCGCCAATAACGTAGTGCAGCATGATAGAACCAAACACATCGATATCGATAGGTTCTTCATCAAAGAGAAGTTGGACAGTGGATTACTGAAGCTAAGTCATGTTTCAACTAAGGATCAGACAGCAGATTGTTTGACTAAGAGACTTAGCTCAGTAGATATGATTAAATGATGTGACAAGATGGACTTAGTGGATATCTTTCGACAATCTTGAGGAGGAATGTTGACATATTAATATAGTTAGGGAGTTATTTGTAAGATGTGTTTGTAGGGGTCTATATAAGCCCATATTATCTCATTAATAAACTAGGATTTTTCATTCAACTAAATTGATATCGACATGTTAATATGTTGAGTTTAGTTAAATGTGCACCTCAGGTTAGTAGTGATCACAAATTTGGTTCTTAGAATATAAATCATACTCAAGGGCTTGAGATGTTAGGGCTGAAGTAAATTCATGCAGTTTATGGTGATGATTTGATCATAACTGCTCAAGAGTCTTTAGACAGTGTAAATGGGCAACAGTTATACTCATGCCTTGTGCTTATGTATGTATTAAGTTATAAGGTTGTGCCTCATCTACTTGTGCATGTTGAATGTTAAATCTTCCCTCTTCGTAATTTTTACTGACCACTTCCAAACTGAACCATATGTATAAGACCGTTAAGTTCTTTCTTGAATATCTGCGATGCAATCATGCATGAGATACTGTCAAATACCCGTTACCTTGAATGCTTGGATGTAGAGAGGTTGAACCAGCAATATATGTTACTGGTTTTAGGGGTGAAATAGAGAGGTTGAACCAAATCTTGTTATGTTCTAGCTATACAAAGCAATAGCCATAAATAGGCTGCAGTTTACACATCAAAGCTGCATTTTTTGGATCGTCTTCAACAATTTAGATTCAAGGAGTCTTTCAGGGGTTACCAGGGCTGTAACAGGATTTTAAAGCTATTAATAATTGCATGCAGCCTCGAGACAAGAATAAACGAAGACACCATTATGGGAGTATGCAAGAAGATTGGATTTCATCAAGGTGTCAGTTTGTCTTGTTTTCACTTCTAGCTCTGTGTTTTTCAAAGTTATAGAAAGCGCTAGGCGGCGTAGGTGTTGGACCCGGGGCCTAGAGCTTAGGTGCCTAGGCAGGGCTTTGGTATTTTCCTTTTCTTTTTAATTTTTTAATTACAATCAATGTTATCGAAAGCACTAGGCAACATTTGGTGCCAAACTGGTGCCAAACTGGTGCCTAGTGCCTATGTGCTGGGCCTTGGAGGCTTTCCTTATTTTTGTTTAAGCGGTGTCAGAGGAGGTTTTGGAGGTTTTGCTGAAGGTTGGAGGAGTTGTTAGAGGTGTTCGTAGTTGGTGGAGGAGGCCGGTGGAGTTTGGAGAAGGGTAGAGGACATGGAGGTAGCAACATGGAAATCACGACCAACACCTAGCAGTGCAATGGGTGTAAGTGGTCTCCGCTTCCCTAGGCGCTCTTAAGACCTAGGCTGGTGGAGCCTGGGCGGCCTAGGTACCGCCTAGGCCTAGGCGGGAGCCTTTTTAAAACATTGATGTTTTTATTCTCTTTTTAAGTCATAACTAGCAATTCCTTTTGTGGTCTGCGTCGCAAAAATATTCAGTTAATTAAGCCTAATCAAGACCAAGCAGTTATAATCTGTGTATTCTTGAATTACTTAGTAATTTAATTTGAGAATGAATTTTTTTTGTCGAGCTCAGTACCTGAATTTTTTGTCGAGCCCAGTACCTGAATTTGAGAATGAATTACTGAGTAATTTAATTTGAGAATGAATTTTTTTTGTCGAGCTCAGTACCTGAAGCGAGTTTATTATATCTTAATTTTCCTATTCTTATTTTCTTTTATGCTTCTAATTAACAACAGCAACCATTCTTCAATTTCTCATTTCCTATTTCTGTGCACAGATCTTGTTCCTGGTGATTTTGTCCATGTTATAGGAGATGCTCACGTCTATAGAACCCATGTTAGGCCTTTGCAAGAGCAGCTGCAGAAGCAGCCCAAACCATTTCCAGTAAGCAGTATATCCAATTATCCATATAGTTCTTTCATATATATAATTTCAAGCTTTTAAAAAAATGCTGTAGAAAAAGTTTCTCATTTCACGTCTCATCTTTTCTCCATCTTCTAAATGTTGACAGATATTGAAAATTAATCCTGAGAAGAAGGATATTGACTCATTCGAGGCATCTGACTTTAAACTTGTTGGATATGACCCCCACTTGAAGATAGACATGAAAATGGCTGTGTAGGGCCATAAACTCTGCACACTTGGAAGAAAGCTGTCTTGCTGTTTTTTCCTTGGTGATGAGAATATAATTTATAGAGGTAAGTTCCATGGAATCTTCAAACTTGACTCTTGAAATTGCAATTCTTGCTAGTGGTAAAAATAGTGTATCAAGCATCGGTATTGTACATTAGGTGAATAATCTGTGAAAGAGATTAACTCCATGTTGCTTACAACAACAGTAGCAGCAACAACAGCAAAAATAAAACAACAAAAAAAAAGTAATTTTGATTGTTTTGTTATGATCCTATGTCAGAAGATCTTTCTTTACAGTTGTCTTCTTTAAATTTTGAATCTGGTGCAGCTACGATCTGCTTGTGAGAAGAGCTTGGATAAATAAAAAACCAAGAGATCTCTCCTCAAACCGGTTAACTTAATACTACTAGAGTTCAAGAGTTGTTCCCTAATTGAAGGCAAATTTGGGTTGTCTTTTATGCCTACCTGTGACCTCTTTGGAGTTATCAAACCATCAACTTGATGGAATGGTTATAGTACTTTGTATTATTTTTTTTCCTTTTTTTTGGGGGGGTTTAGTTGTGGCTGCTTCTGGGATTTAACGTTGAAACATGAGTACCAAACCTATCTATAATTATTTATGTAGTTAATATTGTGCAAGTTTTCAAGAATCTATATCAGGTTGCTTGTTGGTGGTGGCCTTTGTTTTGCTTATGACTTGGAAGAATTTACAAGAGTGTTCATGAATGAAGGCCGGGCTTGGCAAGGAGCAAGGAGCAAGGAGCAGAGTGGTCTGCTCGTCATCTGTTTGGTTGTTGATCTCCAATCGTTCACTCTTGGTTTTCATTACCCCGAATGCATAGTTATTATAGTTCATTTAGTCTCATAGTTGACTAAATGGAGGCTCACCGGATGCTTATTAGATATTCAATCTTCAACAAATTGTTTTCATGGATGAGTTTTTTCTAGGTCTCTAGTAAATGGTATGAGAGTTAATCTTATGCTTCCAGTTGTAAGTGAAACTGATGAACATTGGTGGTCTACATTGCAATGCTCGGTTGGAACTTGTCTTGTGCGAAGCCGAATGGTCGATGCTTGGATTGCACTATTTTACAACTACGGAATTGCACGATTCGAACCAGCACGTTCACATTCTTTCATAAGACGCGTAACAAAGATACAAATAGTAGTTCGTGAAGGCTTATGAAAGAAATGCTTAATGAGAGCTTGCCTCGCTTCATTTGTCAAAAATTCTGTTTGGGAATGTGGATTTAGACCCTGGATTTGGAATCAAGGATAGTTCAAATCCAAATCCCAAGTTTGGGCAGAATTTTAGGCACGAATTTTAAATCAGTTGATTTTGATCGGGTTGATTTCAAAGCCCAATAGCTAAGATTTCAAATTTTCGCCTAACCCCCTGTGATTTGGCATATATCCATTCCTTCAAATTACAATCGCGCGATTAGATTTCGTCTCTCAAAATTATTTTGTAGTCTCTCTCTCGCATAACCCTAGACCCGCTGCGATTCACCTGAATGCTGCCTCTTCGTCATCGGCACCTCGCCTGAGGCTTCCTCGTAGTAGTTGGCACCTCGCCTGAGGCCTCTTCGTCGACAGCCTTCTTATCCTCCCGCCCAACTCTCTCTCAATTCTAAACCTATTAAGCTCAGTTGTTGCAGAGCTTGAAAAAGGCAGCCATGGCAGGATGGGGAAGAAAGGAGCCTGAAGATCAAGATTTACATTTTTTTCCTTGCTCCCTATTGTAAATTCAATTCCATTTAGCGTCCAAATTTGACGTTTTTGACTTGATTAAGGGTTTAACAGCAACGATTGATATAAAAATGTTGGTTTTGTTCAAAGTAATAAGATCTGATGAAATACATGAACAACAATAACAAAGAGTATTGAGTTCAAAAAATGTTTTTTTTAGATATTGGTACCTTAAATCTTTGATTGTTTGACCAAAGTCCCTCAAATTATTGAAGTTGTCAATAAGTCCCCTCCATTTATAACAGCTACTGCAATTTGATCCCTATGTTAGTTTTTAAACTAAATTTGCAAAACCATGATTGGGTTATTCCTTCGTTTTTCCTTGTCGAGCATACCCATATATATATATATATGAGAGGGAGAATAAGCTGAAACCACAAGGGAGCAAATTCAACGGAGTTGCTTAGTTCTATCAAAGCCTATCAAAATGCAACATCCGTTTCATGACATCCCGGTTTCATGCAGAACACGGGAAACGTGGCTCTATCAAGTCAAATGCAGAACATCCGTTTCATGACATCCCGGTTTCACGTGGAACGTTTCATGTAGAACACGAGCACGAAAACATTACAAAAGGTTACCAAAATGAATCAACAAGTGCTCTCGTTACTGTAGTCATCACGCGCGCGCACGTGGAGAAAGGATGTTGCCAAGCATGTCTCGCATAATCTCCCTTGATAGAAATGCTTCTGTCCTTCTTGACTGTGTTTGCAATAGCTTGTTCAACCGCTAGTCTCCCTAAGCTTGACGCATTGCATCATAAAACCCATGAAGTCCCTTGGCACACTTGAGTATGAACTCAGCTTCTCGAGGACCTGAGATAGGACCCGCTACACACATCATAAATTAAAAAAAAAAAATCTTTTTTTTTTGAAAAATAAATAAACAAATGAAATCAGGTCTGAATCTGAAAAAGATTTGCGACCAAACCCCGATTTCTGTGTGTAAAAATTGGTTTACCTGAACAAATATCTTCCCAACTTCCAGTTCATGCAAGCGTGATTCACTCTGCAAATTTTAACCTTTCATAATCTTTCAAATATCTAAAACCTGGAAATTCGAATGTTAGTGCCCTAAAGATTGCTGTCAAATGGAGTAGCCTTCTGCACGTTTATCTCCCGTTGCTACCCTTATAATTTGTTGTAAGTGATGCACGCGATCATTCAAATAACTGACCGTGGCTGGATCAGTAGTTAGTCTTTCAAGAAATCTAGCACTAAGCTTTCCACCAAATTCCTAGAACTGAAACAGCCAAAAAAAAAAAAAAAACTAATTTTCAATATAAACCTTGGTAAACCTTACCGCACTTGCAGATAGCACGAACATAAACTACAGGCAATATGCAAAATGGTTTCATAACGCAAAGCAGTTTGGGAAAAGGGCGCAAGGCTCAAAGTTGTCAAAATATACCAAAGATTTTACCCAAAAGCTTTTAGCGCGTTCTGACTTCCCCTGCTTCTGCCAAGATTACGTGTTTTGACCCACACTGAAAAAGAGGAAAAGATGCGAGCTATACTACACGATCAACAGTCAACTTCCTATGTTTGATTGCTTTGGGAGGGTCGGGAACTGATAACTGGCACATCCTCGTACATGCAACACACACACAAGGGAGCATCAGCACTCTACGATTTGTTTGGTACTTTCTTTGTACTCGTCTCGCCAATCTAGCACTAAGCTTTCCACCAAATTCCTAGAACTGAAACAGCCAAAAAAAAAAAAAAAATCTAATTTTCAATATAAACCTTGGTAAACCTTACCGCACTTGCAGATAGCACGAACATAAACTACAGGCAATATGCAAAATGGTTTCATAACGCAAAGCAGTTTGGGAAAAGGGCGCAAGGCTCAAAGTTGTCAAAATATACCAAAGATTTTACCCAAAAGCTTTTAGCGCGTTCTGACTTCCCCTGCTTCTGCCAAGATTACGTGTTTTGACCCACACTGAAAAAGAGGAAAAGATGCGAGCTATACTACACGATCAACAGTCAACTTCCTATGTTTGATTGCTTTGGGAGGGTCGGGAACTGATAACTGGCACATCCTCGTACATGCAACACACACACAAGGGAGCATCAGCACTCTACGATTTGTTTGGTACTTTCTTTGTACTCGTCTCGCCGAAAGCACGCGAGTCACGGCTTGCGGGCTGGAGTTCGGATGAGGCATTTCATTTCGCACGCGCCAGTTGAATTTATACAGCTTCGAACCGAAAGCCAGCTAGTATAATGGGTTGGATTGTCGCGAAAAGTAAGATTGGATGGCGACTCTTCATGAACCGCGCAACCTCACATTTGCGGTGGTGAGCATTTAATAGCTTGATGTGAGAAGCACCCTTCTGGCGTTGCGAAGCAATGGAACCTTCGTTGGACACCCAAAAGCCAAGCATGTTCTTTCTATTATCTGTCAGCTGTGAGTTCCTTTGGTCTACGTACATCAGTTTTTCTAGTCAGCCGCCTTCCATTCCTCAGAAACAGGTCTAACACCACCAACACTCCTGCAGATATGCCTGTCCCCGCGCCGGCCCCTATAACGGGCACACCCTTATTTATTTGTTGCTTCAGTTGTCGTGGTATAATCTGGGTCCTCTGCAGAGTTTGTCAAGAACAAATAAAATATTATACATTCAATGTACGTGAGGTGCCAAATTCGTACCGGTTTCCATATAAGAGTGCATTGCCTATTCGACTAACCATTTCCTTCTCAACATACTCATCTGAAGTAGTCGTTCCCCAACCGGTAGATCTTGTTCCTTTTCCCTTCTTTTTTCCCCCTCTTCTTTTTTTATTCCTTTTCTTTTCTTGTTGTTGTAACACATGCTTCTTGGTCAGAAAAAGTTTGTGATGCTGAGTAGTGAGACGATTGAGGCTACTCATGGTTCGTTGGGCCATAATCTTATGTTGGCAGAAGGGTTGTCGATTGATTTTGCTCTCCAAGTCTTTCATCTTTTTGTCTTCACTCGTTTCTATCTTCGAGTGGTTTTGGGGGGAGGTAATGTGGTCTTCTTTGGCATTATCATCTACAGGACCGCCTCCGTTGTCATTGTGGACAGGGGGAATAATGACATTATTCCCTTCCCGTTCATTCTCTTCTTGGTTATGATGATTGGGTCGAGTGGGCTCCTCTTGATGAGTTGTCAGAGCTGCGATCTGCTGGTCGTGCATCTCCCTCATCCGCTGCAGGGTCATCTCCATCTCGAACTTGAAAGCTTCTTTCTGCCGAGCTAGGGCGTCTTCAAGCATTTTGTTCATTTGTTCGGCACTGATCATGAGTACCTCGCGGGGTTGTCCCTCGCTGGATACCGTGTTGTCCGAAGCGATCGCGGAGCCGGTATCTGATCCTTCGTCTTCGCTTGTTAGCAAACAAATTTAGTTTTTATTCAAAACGCGTCTTTTGAGTATAAACTTGTTCGATCTCAATAGGTCTTGAGTTCGTTCGCCATTGATAAGTTATAGGTCTAACTTGTCAAATATCGCTTCCGCATTTTAATTCGTATCATTAGTGGTATCAGAGCCTCGGCTCTTGATTTCCATTTATCGAGACGATCCTAGGCATTTAGGCTCGCCCAAATATTATCCTATCTTAAAAAAAAAATAAAAAAAAAAAAAAAAAATCATGGCAGAATTTGACGATGATATGATACTCGAAAATCTTCGAGAGTTGCTCCGCAACCGCCCTACGGGCAGTCGTTCTGGTCCTCGATCGAAGCCGGATGAATTCAAGGTTTCGGAACTTCCCGAATTCATTGGTGGTACCAACCCGGAGGATTATTTGGATTGGGAAAGGAAAATCGATCGTTTGTTCGATTTTAAAGATCTCAGCGACGAGAAGAGATGCAAATATGCTATTCTAAGATTAAGCAAGGGAGCATCACTTTGGTACGAGGGGTTAAAAGCAAAGTGAACTCGCGCTGGAAAGGACAAGGTGGCATCGTGGGATTCCTTAAAACGTAAATTGAGGAAAAGGTATGTACCAGCTACTCATAAATTGGATATTTATCGTAAAATCACGGATTTGGTACAAGAGAAATTAAGCGTTGCCGAGTATATAGATGAGTTTGAAAAATTAATTCTAATGGGGGAATTGGAGGAAAATGAGGAACAAAAAATGTCTCGTTTTCTTCGTGGTCTGAATCGTAATATTGCCAATTCTGTCGAGTTATACCCATATTCGGATTTTGATACTTTGTGCAATTTATGTGTTAAGATTGAGGCCCAAGGGAAGTTTAAGTCAGGGGGTTCGAGTAGAGAATACAGTAGCCCTAATAACTATTCCAAACCCGTCTTTTCCCCAAAAACAACACCTACTCCAAACTCAAATAATTCGACCAAAACCATACCGAAGACCTTCGAGTCGGGTAAGGAGACTAGTTTGTCGAAGGTTCGTTGTTTCAAGTGTCAGGGGTTCGGACATTTTCAAAGTTCGTGTCCTAACAAGAGGGTGGTAACATTGAGAGAGGCTAGGGAGTGTCGTGAGGAGTTGGCCAAGGAAGAGGAGCGATTGGGAGATGTGTTTAATTTTGATGAAAGTGAGAAAGAAGAAGAGGAGGAGGAGGGTTATGAGGCCCCTGTGTATGATACTCTGTTGGTTCTCCGTTCTTTACAAGTTCAAGCCGAGTCCTTTGATTCGGATCAGCGGGAACAATTGTTCCACACCAAATGCCAAGTCAATAGCAAGTGGTGTAGCGTAATTATAGACGGTGGGAGTTGTACTAATGTGGCATCGGAAGGGATGGTGTCCAAGTTGGGTTTGTCCACTGTTGCGCATCCTAAACCTTATGCGCTTCATTGGTTGAACGATGGGAATAGTGTGAAGGTTACTAGGCAGGCTCGAGTAGGCTTGTCGATGGGCTCTTATACCGATGAGGTACTTTGTGACGTAATCCCTATGGATGCTTGTCACGTTTTGTTAGGGAGGCCATGGCAGTTTGATCGAGATGTTGTGCATCGGGGAAGAAGCAATGAGTACGTGTTGAGGGACAAGGGTAAAAAAATTGTATTAAAACCCATGTCATCTCAGGCTATTCGGTCTATGAGCACTAAGAAGAAGAAGGCAACTATGCTGATTAAGGAGCGGGATATTGAACGAGCTATTGATCGAGGGGAGTGTGTTTATCTCCTCTTGGCCAAGGAGGAATCAGCGTTAGGCCGGGGGCTGCCGACTGACAGTCCAGTTGATGGGTTGATACGGGAATTCGCAGATGTGTTTCCCGACTCTTTACCACCGGGTTTACCACCTATTAGAGGGATCGAACATCAAATTGACCTTGTTCCCGGGGCGCCATTGCCTAACAAGGCTGCTTATAGGTGTAATCCAGAGGAGTCTAAAGAGCTTCAAAAACAGATTAATGAACTAATGGAGTATGGGTATGTTCGGGAGAGTATGAGTCCTTGTGCGGTTCCGGTTTTACTCGTACCAAAAAAGGATGGGTCGTGGCGAATGTGTGTCGATTCAAGGGCGGTCAACAATATCACGATTAAATATCGGTTCCCAATTCCTCGACTTGATGATTTGCTTGACGAGCTCCATGGCTCTAAAATATTTTCTAAGATAGATTTACGAAGCGGATACTATCAAATCCGTATGCGTGAAGGGGACGAGTGGAAAACCGCTTTCAAGACTAAATACGGGTTGTATGAGTGGACCGTCATGCCATTTGGTCTCACTAATGCCCCGAGTACGTTTATGCGCCTAATGAATGAAGTATTGAAGGCATTTTTGGGCAAGTTTGTGGTCATCTACTTCGACGATATTCTAGTTTATAGTTGGAATTTAGAGGCGCATCTTGAGCATCTTAGAATGGTTTGCGAGAAACTGAGGGAGCAAAGGCTATATGGGAAACGTGAGAAATGTTCTTTCTTGGAGGAGAAAGTGTTGTTCTTGGGTTACGTGGTGTCAGGAGAAGGAGTGGAGGTCGACCAGTCCAAGGTCGATGCAATACGAACCTGGCCATCGCCTGGTTCAGTCACGGAGGTAAGGTCTTTTTTGGGTCTTGCTTCTTTTTATCGCCGGTTTATTCGAGACTTTAGTACTATTGCGAGTCCAATGACGGAATGCCTTAAAAAGGGGGCGTTTGTGTGGGGAGAGGCTGCCCAAGCTTCATTTGATTTATTGAAAGAGAAATTATGTCAGGCACCCGTGTTAGCTTTGCCCGATTTTTCTCAGCCTTTCGAGGTTGAATGTGATGCTAGCGGGGTCGGTATCGGGGCTGTATTAAGACAGAGGAATCGACCAGTGGCCTTCTTTTCGGAAAAATTGGGGGGTGCTCGTTTGAAGTATTGTACCTATGACAAGGAGTTTTACGCCATTGTTAGAGCACTTATGTATTGGAGTCATTACTTGCGTCCGAATCATTTCGTTTTACATTCCGATCATGAGTCTTTGAAATACATCAACGGGCAGCAAAATTTGAGTCCTCGTCATGCCAAGTGGGTTGAATTCTTACAAGCTTTTCATTTTTCTGCTAAGTACAAGGATGGTAAGACTAATATCGTGGCTGACGCGTTGTCGCGGCGGTATTCTTTAATTTCCGTGCTTAATGCCCGGTTACTTGGGTTCGAAATGTTGAAAGCTCATTATGAGAATGATGAGTATTTTGGGGAATTATTTAGCAAAGGCTTGGTTGGGGTTACTGGAGAGTTCGTCGTTCAAGATGGGTTTCTATTTAAGGGAAACCGTCTTTGTATTCCGAGGCACCCAATTCGGGAATTGTTGGTACGTGAAGCTCATGGGGGTGGCCGAGTAGTGAGACGATTGAGGCTACTCATGGTTCGTTGGGCCATAATCTTATGTTGGCAGAAGGGTTGTCGAGTTCGAATGCGCGGTTCGTAAGTTTGGTCACATGCTTTGGATTCGTCTGAGTGCAGGGCTTCTACAAAACAATTTAGTTCCACTTTATTTGGTCAATAAAGGGTGATTATTACCCTATTTAGTGAATTGTTTATTGTTTTATTACTACATTTAGTAGGTCTTAAATGGCTAGAATTAATGGTCATAATTAGCAAGTTTAATTTTGTCATTAGGAGTCTTTTATTAGGAGTCTTTTATTTGGCTGTAACGGTTGTCCTCTTAAGGCTATTTATAGTCTTGAAGATTGTAATTTTTGATAAATTCAGAAATTTTAAGAAATACAAAAACTTGCTTGTTAGCAAACAAATTTAGTTTTTATTCAAAACGCGTCTTTTGAGTATAAACTTGTTCGATCTCAATAGGTCTTGAGTTCGTTCGCCATTGATAAGTTATAGGTCTAACTTGTCAAATATCGCTTCCGCATTTTAATTCGTATCAGTTTGAAAGTACAGCTTTAAGTTAACTCTTGTTTAGACTATACGTAGAGAGGAGGATTTCGCTTCTTCTTTTTTTCCCGATGTCATGTCCCCATTATTGTACATTGGAATATCATGCCTTCGATTCTTGCATTACTTTTATCGGATTGAAGCTCCCTACAAAAGTCTAGTTTCAGTTAAAACATTTCAATTTTTCCAGGTGATAAGCGTCTTCTTCATGCAGATGATCGGTGGCAGTTCGAAAAATCATAAGCTTAATCCTACACATGAGCATTTTAGAGAATAACAGTTAGCATGCTCTGGAAGAATGATTCATACTAATGAGCAAATATTGCATGCTCAATAGATATAAAACCTGGCTTTGCATCAGGAAAGTCGATTGGGGTCCGCCAAATAACCCTGTCATCTGTGTCTTTTCCCTCAGTGCTGCTTTCAACCATGCTTGGACAATACTTCTGCTCGAAAGCAGGAATTTCTCGAGAATTCACAGTTCTAGAGATATTCATCTCCAACAATGAATCAACCAAGGCATCAGCAAAATTTGGATAATTGATATGGCACGGTATTATCTTCACCTACAGAAGTAAAACATAAATATAAGTTATGTGTATGAGATAGTGGACATAGACACATATAAACTATAAACTCTAAAACATGCAAATTGAGCATATGGAAACACTATCAAAATGGTACCTGTCTATCACTGTTTTTCTCTACTAGCTTATCCAATTAATTTATTAGATCATAAAATGGCTTCCCAAGAGCATCTAGTGCAGAGACGCCCTTCTCTGGTAGACAAATACAAACTCTTGATGAAGACTATTCACTTTCTCAGCAATAAATCTTGCAAACTTCTTGTTTTCGTCGCCAGTAGTTCGTATTAGCGAAACCTGCAATGCATCAAAATGGTTAGCTTCACTGCTTATCTGTTGACAACACAAGCACACATGCCTACATGCGTGTGCACATAAGCGCAGGCCAAAGGTATCTTCTACACATGAACATCATGAAGAAAATGATCAAATTATTCATATGCAGCTAAGTAAGATCATAAACAAAAATCTGAGCTTCTTTGAACTTTGCACATAGTACCCAGGGAATTTTAAAGCCTCAACAGTATCAACCCCTCACCTCAATTACTGATAGTGTATTCTGTACAAAACTATTTTCTCCTTAATACTGAAGTTAATAACATAACAAGAGATGTCTACTTGATAAAGTTTCCTGCGAGCATATGATGTTTACCAGACAAGACTGTCAATTACTCACTTGTATAGGTTCTATAGAATACCTGCCACCATATAGTATATACCATATTCCTTACTGCCCAAAAAAAAGTAACAAGGCTTGTTAAAAATGTAACCAAGGAAATAGTTTATTAAATCGTTCGCTGTGACATATTCAAGTTTTGGATGTTGAATTTGGAAGACTAAGAACTTTGGTTGAAGGATCCGAGCACAGGTAGAAGGTGATTCTCTACCCTGGCAGGACTGAAAGATACTTCGAGGTTTATGATGCCTGAAGTTTTTTTCTGCAGAGTAAGGAGAATGTTGCGAAATCCGATCAACAGGGCCAACCTTAGTATATCTTTGCTTTATGGCTACAAAAGGGAAGGAAACACAGGTCAATTTCCGATCATGTTAGACACCGCCCAAAGCTGAATAAATAGCATGGACTGCATTACTGTTGTGATTTAAAATTAAAAAAAAAAACCATCTATTGATCAAGGTCTTGATGGACAATTATGACAAATGAGTTAATTTTACATTACTTTCTCCACATGATGCATCAATATTCTTTTGAAGAGTCATTTACCAATATAAATAAACTTCCCTAGTTTTGACAGAGTAACAAGTTACATGATAATTAAATGTCTACAGTACACTAAAGTTGTTCATAAGAGCGTTGCACTTCATTACTAATAAACAATGCCTACAAATGAAGATAGCGCCAAGGAAAGAAGTCTCAACTTTGTAAAAATAATTAAAATAATAAATGAAAAACCAATAGATCTTGATTTACTTGTGTATCAATGCTTCGTGGCATTAAGTACGTTGAAGGATTTCAAAAGATTCAAACAATAAGCTTCCAATGTTATACTATAAAATGGTATTCGATCAGGTTAATCCTGTAAAGCCTGTGGCGAAGATTGACCTCCAATCTTACGATGCAACTTTACACACGAATGAAATGGAATTCAGCTGGTTAAGGCTCCAATTCATGGCGGCTGATATAGTATCCAATCCAGCTCTCTTAAATTATGCTTTTGAATTTTAGGGTATATAACGGTCTATTCTATGAGTGTATGATACATCTCAGGTATTTTTTTTCTTATTAAATTTAAGAATATGTGGAAATTAAGATGTATGCAAAACCCAGGAACCAATGTGTGCAACTATCCCATAAGCAGTAGGCAGGTGTGACTCTCCTTTAAAAGTGTCAATACTTCATTATAACGTCCACTAACTTAAGTTTGTTCACAAGGTTTACAAATAATATTTCCTAACGCATTGCAAGGACCTGTTCACATAGATTATTATTTTTCGGTGATTTTTAGATATCAAGTGTCACTTGTGAATACAAGAATCAGTTGTAAAATTGGAGTGTCCATAAGAAATGCTGACCTGACCATTATGTGCATGAATCTTTCTATCTTTAAACACTGGAGGTGTTGTATCCTTAGCTCCAAAGTTTACCGTATCTGAGGCCCCTACACATAAGGACCAAAGGGATCTTTTTCTCTATGATGGCATCAAATCGGGAACCATCACAAGCCATAACACCACCGACTACATAATCAGCAACTTCTGTTGTTGTCACATCCAAAACACCCTACATCCAAAGAACAATGCCAGAACGTGAAGTTTTCTCAATAAATTTACAGAAAGATTCAAGTCAGTGGCTGCAATCACTTAAGACTGACTGGAACCTGGGCACAGATTGGGAACTGAGGAAATGTTTTCAATGATTAAAATTTTGAAAAATAAAAAGGAATGCAATGCCAACAAATAAGTTGCGGAAACAATTAGTATGTATTCCTCATGCCTCGTGTGCATTATAGTTCAAATCCAGCACGGTACATTTGTAGTGTCGAACAACAACGATATGCTCTGATACCACTTGTCGTGACGGACGGCGGCGCCGAGGAACCAAAACAAACGCCGATCAAAGAAGGCCAAAAACAACCAAATATCAATACACAAACCCAAACACCAACCAAACAAATGCCTCACATGTTGAGACTCAAATGGGAGTGCGAACACTCACCCCAAATGTCGATGTCGCTCACCAAATCGGCTGCATCATAAAGACCGCCTACGTATCCTCTTGCCCAAGGAATCAAGCCTTCACGTAGTTCACCCAAATGACCTCCAAAGGCCCTCAAACAAATAGAAAAGTATGCAACTCTTCCCCAATATCTCCGACAGATCTGCAACTGATAGCGGTCCCAAACTGATACAAATCAAACACCTCCATATGAGGTGAACCAATGGTCGTATCCAAATCATGTCCACCAGCTACAACCGAATCCAAAACCAATCCATCATCTGCATCCGAAATCAAATGATCCCCAACATGTATCACCTCAGCTGGAATCCCAAATGACGTAGTATGATCTGGAGTACATGGAGTAATCTCCACCCAACGTGGAGTAGCACCACTCTCCACCTGCTGCGATATCCAAACGACCTGATCAACACTCTCCACCTGGCGAGAGTCAAAAGTGACATACCTGCTCAGAACAAAATTAGAAGCTCCCAAACAATAATCAACTGAGCCTCCGAACCCCAAACACGCAATCGGATCAAATCTCACATCCTCGATGTGACCAAATACTGGGTATCCAAATATCCGACGCAACCCAAAATCTGAAGCAGCTCCACCAGATCCAATAACTCCTAATACAGCAGTCAGCGACCTGTGACTAAGATGACCCAAATATATCGAAGCTCCAGAACCAATGCTCGACAACCAACGCCGATCCTCCTCCAGAAAGGAACAACCCATTGAAACTGTCATCTCATCTCGTCGCCCCAAATTCTCCACACCAATGAAGTGTCTCCTGTGATAAACACGTAAAATATGCATTATCTTAGTGTGTTTTAAGCATGATTTACGAGTGTTTAATGCATATTTCGTGTTTAGATCGATGATACTGCTGTTGTTTGTATTCTTATATGTAGGTATTGGCTCAAGATTAAAAGATTTGATGATCATTGGAAGTTTTACAAGAGTTTGAAGCAACAACAACATTTCGAAGGCATGGTTCGTGAAGAAAATGGATGCACGAATATAAAGAACTGGAATTTCTACCATGATGCAGTTTGAATCAAGAAAAACTCAAAAGATAAAAGTTGTAGATCTCTTCAACAGGATTTCAATGCAACTTGAATCACCTCATTCCGAGGTCGAACGCAAAAGTTATAGCCAAAATACCAAAAACTGAAGAAACAAGCACAAAATCAGCAAAACAGCCCCTACCACACCCTGGTGTGGTGCAGACCACACCGGTGGCGCGGGAATTAGTTATTTTCCAGATTTTTAGGGATATATAAATAGATGTTTTGACTTAGGGTTTTGGATATCTTTTTTATGTTCTTTTAGCCATCAACTAGCAACTATTCTAGGGTTCTAGTATTGAAGGAAGACATTAATCTCTTGTAGAAGATTGGATTGCAAGTTCTTATTTTGAAGATTTCAATTGAAAGACGGGTTAATTCTTTCCTCTCTTTGATTTATTTCTTCTTATGATTGATTTGCATAATTATTTGATGTCTTCTCTTATTCCAATCATGTGTGAGTAGATTTCTTGTCTAGGGTTGGGAAAGAACCCAACTTTTTGGTGATTGATGATGAATTGATATAGGTTCTTGGTGAAAGTTTAAATCTTTGAACTTGATTTCTAGTGTTTTAATTTTGTTGATTCGCTTGATCACCGTATTAGCAATCATAGGTAATTAATTGAAGGACTGAAAGGTGAAGATTAATACCGGATCTCTAGAAATTACTCTTCTAATTTACTCATTAGTTTAACTAGTCTAATAACGTAAAATTTGGTAATTAACCCTAGTCCCTGTGGGATCGACCTTGATAGCTACAACGAGTCTGTGCGCTTGCAGATTTTGCCCATCATCCTATTGCCGTGAGCTTGGCACAAATGCAAGAAAGGACCCCTACCAAATCTAGAACAACGAGTTACCTTTCTGCCAATACATTTCTTCCAATTGTTGTTGACTTCTAGGACTTTGCACCAACGGGAACTGGTCGCGACCCAATAATGCCTAGAACAATCATCAACTGTGGAAACTAAGATACGATTACCTCCCAATGATGCCTTCTTGGAAGGCCCCCAAATACCTGACTGAACACCTCCTAAAAGACCCCTCACTCGATGGATAGGAATGCCAAACTCCACCACGGTCTTGCTCATCCCAATATGCTCACAGGACTTCAATCTGTAGGTCATGACACTCCTCAACAACCAATGCACGACATTACCAATCATATACCCCAGCACCAAACAATACCACAGTCTAGCCGAATCTGATGAAGTCATCATCTCCCTATCAATCACCGTGCTTCCGAGCAAATAATACAAATTTCTTCTTCTGACGCCCTTCATCACAATCATGGACCCAAATGTAACCTTCAAGCGTGCATCCGCCAAGGTCACCCTATAGCCTGCTGCCTCCAAAGCTCCAAGTGAAATGATGTTCTTCTTCAACTGAGGAACGAACCTCACTCCAACCAACTCCCGAATCACCCCGTCACTCATCCTGATCCTATCAATCACTGTGCTCCCAAGCAAATAGTACAAATTGCTCCTTCTGACGCCCTTCATCACAATCATGGACCCAAATATAACCTTCAAGCGTGCATCCGTCAAGGTGACCCTATAGCCTGCTGCCTCCAAAGCTCCAAGTGAAACGATGTTCTTCTTCAACTGAGGAACGAACCTCACTCCAACCAACTCCCGAATCACCCCGTCACTCATCCTGATCCGAACGGTACTGATACCACCAATAGAGCATTTGTGATCATTCCCCATGAGCACGAAATTCCCTCTTTCCAACTCCTAAAAGCTGGAGAACCAATCCCTCATAGGGCAAATATGGTATGTAGTCCCCGAATCCAACATCCACTCTGTAGAGTAGACAACACAAACTGACGACAGTGCAGATAATGAGTAGCCCGAAGAATCCGAATCTAAATCGTTACCACTGGCCTTGACAACATTCGCCTCTGAAGCTTGAATAGCTTTCCCTTATTCTTCCCGGCTCGATCAACTAACTTTGGGCATTCGGCTTTCCAATGTCCATCCTCTTTGTAAAAGGCACACCGATTCTTACGAACTCCAAGATGTGCCCCTCTAGACTGTGACCTCCCACTACGGTTTGGACCCTTTGCTCTTGCGACCAACGCCCCCGCTACCGGCTCAATCGAAGTCTCCTTATCCTTCTTTCGAAGCTGATAATTCACAAGTGCAACAGTGACCTCACTATACGAAAGAGATGCCTTCCCATTAATAAGAGTAAGAACGAAGGTCTCATATTCCCCATCGGGCAAGGAACTCAACAACAACAACGCCTTGTCCTCATCTTCAATCACCACATCTACATTCGCCAAATCCGTAAGAAGCTTCGTGTAGTGGTTCATGTGATCACCAATGGAGGTTCTTTTCTTCAACTGGAAGCGGTAAAGCCTCCTCTTCAAATGCAAGCGATTCTCCACACTCTTGGTCAAATACTTGCTCTCAAGGATCTCTCAAATCTTCTTTGCAGAAGTCTCATTGATCACATCATACTTTAGATCTTGAGTGAGACAAGACCTAATCACACCACACGCCGTTCGATTCATCTTTTTCTAAACCTTCTCATCAATATTGTCCGGTTTCCCGTCCAACTCCAACGTATCTTCCAAATTTTGCGCGTTGAGCGCATCCATGACTTCGCATCACCAAAGTCCAAAATTGTTTGTGTCATTGAACTTTTCCACGTCAATCTTCATCGAGTGGATATTCAAGCTTTGGACGGTCTTCACGCCGGAAGTACTGCCCACAACTCCTTCTTTCTCGACCATAATTCTCAAAACACCACCAAACCAATGCGGAAACAAACGAGAAATAGATCCAAAACTGAAAAGATAAGATTTTTATCAAAAAGACCCCACCTTTATCACCAAACGAAGCCCTAGACGAACTTTCAAAGCGATCTACTCCTCCAAATAGCCCAAGCGTAGCCCGAGCTCTGATACCACTTGTAGTGCCAAACAACGATATGCTCTGATACCACTTGTAGTGTCGAACAACAACGATATGCTCTGATACCACTTGTCGTGACGGACGGCGGCGCCGAGGAACCAAAACAAACGCCGATCAAAGAAGGCAAAAAACAATCAAATATCAATGCACAAACCCAAACACCAATTTTAACGTGGTTCAACAATTTCCTACGTCCACGGGACAAGAAGGGGGAGAGTTTCCACTAATAGAGAAGGAGAGCACAAATTGAGATTACAAATCGCTCAAACGAACCAACTAATCTCACCAACAAATCTCTCAACCTCTCAACCAATAACCCTAACCAATAGCTCAGAAAGATCTCTCTTTTCTGTGCTCCAAAATCCCCAAATATGCTCCTACAAAACCCTCAAATCGTATTGGTATTTATACCAAAACAGAAACCCAAACAGACTGCAAATAGGAACCTGAACTTTCCAAAAAACCCGTCATAAGTCGACTTATCAGTCTGCATAAGTCGACTTGGCAGAGCGAAAAACAACAACTGGAGAACAGATCGTAAGTCGACTTATCAGACCTGACAAGTCGACTTACCATAAGTCGACTTATGCCTGTGCATGAGTCGACTTATGACCAAAAATCTGCTTTTTCCAAGTTCTTCTCCACAACATTCAGTTCTGCAAGCGATAAAATTAACAAAACCTGTATGAAGCCGCCTCTAACAAGTTCTTCCATTGCTTTTCCGCCAACTCCGGTAGCATGAAATACAAGCGTCTCATACCCTTCCTTCACAGCAGTAACACATGGAGTAGTTGTAACACCAAACATAGTTATTCCCACAGTAGGCTTACACATCATATCAGCAGAAGCATCACGTGCAAGTAGTTTTCCCACGATCAGCAGCTGCTCCGGCATTAGACAGTACAACTTTACTGACACTATTGATTTCTCAGATATCAACTACTGATGGAAACAGTGTTAAATCCGATGTTCCGACTTAAGGTTAGTCTGACCACTGGCCACAGTAGGCACAATTAACTTTGGTACTCCCAGAGGAAGAGATCTCAAAGCCGGAGCAGTTAGAGAAGTTCGATCCACTGCCTCCAATGCCTATGGCTCCACCTAGGATGCGATCCTCATAAGCTTTCCTCAGGAAACAAATGAGGGCACTACTCATGACTGCAATTGCTTCACCTCTATCATCCGGAAGCTTGTAAGAAACAAATGAGGGCACATACGAAAGAATATCTTTTCTACTGATAAAAGAAAGGCCTTCTAGAGGAGATGTTTCCTTCTGACTACTTGAGACATCAACAACACAAACTTCTACCTGTCATTTCATGATATGAGAGAGTAACTTGTACGACCCCCTAATTGCAGAACAACATAGATACTAATAAACGAGTCAAATTAACTGAGTTTTTTCATATGGTATCGAGCACATAACCAAGAAAATAAAACAAGAAACACTACAGTTAGAAAGCACGATATCAATTTGAGAACGCACAAAGAAAAATAAACCATTAGACCATCAGATATGATAATTAGCAATAACGCAAATAGTCCTGAAATAAATAAAATGCTTACTGGTCCTGCACTCGCAAATAACATGGAGTTAAAAGATTGTGATTCATCCAGTATATACATATAGTTACAAAGTGTTTTAGTTGAAATTGTAAAATCATTGATGTTGCTTCAAAATATGCGATGAAGCATCTTGTGTTACTGCAACACTTAGCATATGTTAAATGTCGAAAATGATTCTCGTCGTACCAAGTTCCTTGCAAGCTAGAGTACTTGTTTACTTCTAGACAAACTATATATACAAGTTAAAAGAATACAAAGATTACCGAAAAAGAATAATCTCTCCAATGTATCTGCGTTCCTTTTTCCTTCATCTAAATAATGTTGCATCAATCTTTTTGGTGGAGCCTTCTTAGTTTAGAGTTGTGTTCCATAGATAATTTCATGTTGATGATAGACGTTGGTAGTTAAAATAAACACTTCATCAACAATTTGAACGACGTAGTAAACCCCAATCAGTTTACTACTTCAAATGCTCAACATGTAGAAGATTCTCTAAATTTTTTAGCTTGTAACACGGAGACAGCTTGTAGAAGCTTCTTCTTAACTTTGGCTATTGATATGAACCCTTGATTACCATATTCTTCACCCTCTCTCTCTCTCTCTCTCTCTCTCTCTCTCTCTCTAATTTAACAGCCAGGCTATATTAGTTATGGGTCTGGTTAGGTAGAACCAGGGCCCCCGAGCCTAACTCTAACCCGGACTCAACATGCATGGCCCTGAATTAATAATTCTTAGCTCAAATAAAATGGGTCTGACCCATATAAAAAGAGAACTTGTTCCAAATTCGGGCAGATCCATTTCTTAAAGAATAGTATACAACCAATTGTACGTAAGATGGCTGTCATATTTTGCATATTTAGAACACGTAATGTGTTGCAAATAGATGATCCATCGGGGACCGTCCATTTGGTTAGGTTGGGGAAGCCCTCGCAGGCTACCCGGGCTCAAATTCAGTACTCTTACTGGCTATGAGCCATGTGGTAGGGAGTAAAGTCAAGACTCATATATAAGTTTGGGGTGCTTGAGCTCTTGGAAAGCAGTTGAACTTCGACGGAGGGGGTGCTTGAACTCCATATGCTTCTTCCCAGAAAAGGTAACACTCCTTATGTGATCGTGGGGGGCTCACCCACGTGCGCGGGAACTTTTTCCCGCTGCCAACTCCCGAGCGCGGGAGTTCTCCCGCTGCCAGCTCCCGAGCGCGGAAAAATTCCGCGCGATTTTTTCTTCTCCCGCCCCATTCAGCCCGCCAATTAATCCGGATCCCCCCTTTTAGTTTCTCCTATAAATAGGAGAGGTGGTGGAGGTGTTTTGGTGTGGGGAAAAATATTAAGTGGGAAAATTGTGGAGAAAACAATTAGGTTTGTGAGTTTTCTTAGAGAGAAAAGAAAAGAGTTGAGATAAAACTTGTATTAAGTTTGGTATTCTCCTCATAGTGAAACCCCCTCCCGTGGACGTAGGCTAGTTTGCCGAACCACGTAAATCTCGTGTATTTACTGTTTTTCTGGGTTGTTGGCTATTGCTTGTAGGATCCCTCAAAATTCGGTCTTGCGCTGATGAGAGGAAGAGTGGATATCTCACTTCGCTGAGATATTTCGCTACTGAGTCTAGGTTTCCTTCGCGAAACACAGATTTCGAGTTTGACTTGTACTTTGTGCAAACAAAAGTCAGGGCTCTCTCTCAGGTGATATCGCTTCCGCGGCGGTGGGCGTGACTCTGCGCCCAACACAACTCAAGCTTACATTCCAACTTCTCCCTTGCAACTCATGGTGACAAAGAAACAGGGATGCCAAAGAAAGGGGAAGACAAAACCTCATGCTCACAGGCTAATCCACTCAAGAAGATATAGATAATACTATATTAGCTTGTATGGAAATTATATAAACAACTCAAACATAGTTTTGGCTCAAGTATCCATTATATGAATTCATCAAATTATACAAATAGATAAACAGAATAATTATAATCAAATCCGGCACGTCGGATTCGGACCAGATTACATCATCAATAATTTAGTATCCACACTTCAAGAGGTGTATCTACAGCATAAAAATCTAAACTTCAATGAACTATCCAGTATCCTGATCTGAATCCCACAAGAATACTAGATACTAGTCCTGAAAACTAACGGTAAAACCCTAGGTTTTGATCTGAACCTCGCAAAATTTAAGAATGATAGCTGAATCGAAGTCAATTTGAGAGATCCTCCAACCATCGCTTAATCAAAAAGCTACAATCATAAACAAAAGGAGATTGCGACTAAAATGGGAAGTTTTAGCTCACGATCCACAATCACACTAACAATTCAACCAGGGAAGGGAAGTTTTAGGTCATGATCGCCTTTTTAATGAGCAATTCAATCAGAGAACTAGGGTTTGGATTCGATGAATTCTTCAATGAAATCGGGAGAAGGAAGATGAGGAAAATTACCAGCCTCCCACTACGGTTTGGACCCTTTGCTCTTGCGACCAACGCCCCCGCTACCGGCTCAAACGAAGTCTCCTTATCCTTCTTTCGAAGCTGATAATTCACAAGTGCAGCGGTGACCTCACTATACGAAAGAGATGCCTTCCCATTAATAAGAGTAAGAACGAAGGTCTCATATTCCTCGTCAGGCAAGGAACTCAATAGCAACAACGCCTTGTCCTCATCTTCAATCTTAACATCCACATTCGCCAAATCCGCAAGAAGCTTCGTGTAGTGGTTCATGTGATCACCAATGGAGGTTCCTTTCTTCAACTGGAAGCGGTAAAGCCTCCTCTTCAAATGCAAGCGATTCTCCACACTCTTGGTCAAATACTTGCTCTCAAGGATCTCCCAAATCTTCTTTGCAGAAGTCTCATTGATCACATCATACTTTAGATCTTGAGTGAGACAAGACCTAATCACACCACACGCCGTTCGATTCATCTTTTTCCAAACCTTCTCATCAATGTTGTCCGGTTTCCCGTCCAACTCCAACGTATCTTCCAAATTTTGCGCGTTGAGCGCATCCATGACTTCGCATCGCCAAAGTCCAAAATTGTTTGTGCCATTGAACTTTTCCACATCAATCTTCATTGAGTGGATATTCAAGCTTTGGACGGTCTTCACGCCGGAAGTACTGCCCACAACTCCTTCTTTCTCGGCCATAATCCTCAAGGCACCACCAAACCAATGCGGAAACAAACGAGAAATAGATCCAAACTGAAAAAGACGAGATTTTTACAAAAAAAGATCCCACCTTTATCACCAAACGAAGCCCTAGATGAACTTCCAAAGCGATCTACTCCTCCAAATAGCCCAAGCGTTGCCCGTGCTCTGATACCACTTGTTGTGACTGATGCTTTGAGAAACCAAACCAACGAACGCCGAGAGAAAGACCAAACAAAACACAAACACCAAGGTTTTACGTGGTTCGGCAAATTGCCTACGTCCACGGGGCAAGAAGGGGGTGGGTTTTCACTAATAGAGAAGGAGAGTACAAATTGAGATTACAAATCGCTCAAACGAACCAACTAATCTCACCAACAAATCTCTCAATCTCTCAACCAATAACCCTAACAAATAGCTCAGAAAGATCTCTCTTTTTCTGTGCTCCAAAACCCCAAAACTCTCCTCACAAAACCCTCAAATCGTATTGGTATTTATACCAAAACAGAAACCCAAACAGACTGCAAATAGGAACCTGAACTTTCCAAAAAACCCGTCATAAGTCGACTTATCAGTCTGCATAAGTCGACTTGGCAGAGCGAAAAACAGCAACTGGAGAAGAGATCATAAGTCGACTTATCAGACCTGATAAGTCGACTTGCCAGAGCCCAAAATCAACAATCCACAGCAGATCGTAAGTCGACTTACGACTTACCATAAGTCGACTTACCATAAGTCGACTTATGCCTGTGCATGAGTCGACTTATGACCAAAAATCTGCTTTTTCCAAGTTCTTCTCCACAACATTCAGTTCTGCAAGCGATAAAATTAACAAAACCTGTATGAAGCCGCCTCTAACAAGTTCTTCCATTGCTTTTCCGCCAACTCCGGTAGCATGAAATACAAGCGTCTCATACCCTTCCTTCACAGCAGTAACACATGGAGTAGTTGTAACACCAAACATAGTTATTCCCACAGTAGGCTTACACATCATATCAGCAGAAGCATCACGTGCAAGTAGTTTTCCCACGATCAGCAGCTGCTCCGGCATTAGACAGTACAACTTTACTGACACTATTGATTTCTCAGATATCAACTACTGATGGAAACAGTGTTAAATCCGATGTTCCGACTTAAGGTTAGTCTGACCACTGGCCACAGTAGGCACAATTAACTTTGGTACTCCCAGAGGAAGAGATCTCAAAGCCGGAGCAGTTAGAGAAGTTCGATCCACTGCCTCCAATGCCTATGGCTCCACCTAGGATGCGATCCTCATAAGCTTTCCTCAGGAAACAAATGAGGGCACTACTCATGACTGCAATTGCTTCACCTCTATCATCCGGAAGCTTGTAAGAAACAAATGAGGGCACATACGAAAGAATATCTTTTCTACTGATAAAAGAAAGGCCTTCTAGAGGAGATGTTTCCTTCTGACTACTTGAGACATCAACAACACAAACTTCTACCTGTCATTTCATGATATGAGAGAGTAACTTGTACGACCCCCTAATTGCAGAACAACATAGATACTAATAAACGAGTCAAATTAACTGAGTTTTTTCATATGGTATCGAGCACATAACCAAGAAAATAAAACAAGAAACACTACAGTTAGAAAGCACGATATCAATTTGAGAACGCACAAAGAAAAATAAACCATTAGACCATCAGATATGATAATTAGCAATAACGCAAATAGTCCTGAAATAAATAAAATGCTTACTGGTCCTGCACTCGCAAATAACATGGAGTTAAAAGATTGTGATTCATCCAGTATATACATATAGTTACAAAGTGTTTTAGTTGAAATTGTAAAATCATTGATGTTGCTTCAAAATATGCGATGAAGCATCTTGTGTTACTGCAACACTTAGCATATGTTAAATGTCGAAAATGATTCTCGTCGTACCAAGTTCCTTGCAAGCTAGAGTACTTGTTTACTTCTAGACAAACTATATATACAAGTTAAAAGAATACAAAGATTACCGAAAAAGAATAATCTCTCCAATGTATCTGCGTTCCTTTTTCCTTCATCTAAATAATGTTGCATCAATCTTTTTGGTGGAGCCTTCTTAGTTTAGAGTTGTGTTCCATAGATAATTTCATGTTGATGATAGACGTTGGTAGTTAAAATAAACACTTCATCAACAATTTGAACGACGTAGTAAACCCCAATCAGTTTACTACTTCAAATGCTCAACATGTAGAAGATTCTCTAAATTTTTTAGCTTGTAACACGGAGACAGCTTGTAGAAGCTTCTTCTTAACTTTGGCTATTGATATGAACCCTTGATTACCATATTCTTCACCCTCTCTCTCTCTCTCTCTCTCTCTCTCTCTCTCTCTAATTTAACAGCCAGGCTATATTAGTTATGGGTCTGGTTAGGTAGAACCAGGGCCCCCGAGCCTAACTCTAACCCGGACTCAACATGCATGGCCCTGAATTAATAATTCTTAGCTCAAATAAAATGGGTCTGACCCATATAAAAAGAGAACTTGTTCCAAATTCGGGCAGATCCATTTCTTAAAGAATAGTATACAACCAATTGTACGTAAGATGGCTGTCATATTTTGCATATTTAGAACACGTAATGTGTTGCAAATAGATGATCCATCGGGGACCGTCCATTTGGTTAGGTTGGGGAAGCCCTCGCAGGCTACCCGGGCTCAAATTCAGTACTCTTACTGGCTATGAGCCATGTGGTAGGGAGTAAAGTCAAGACTCATATATAAGTTTGGGGTGCTTGAGCTCTTGGAAAGCAGTTGAACTTCGACGGAGGGGGTGCTTGAACTCCATATGCTTCTTCCCAGAAAAGGTAACACTCCTTATGTGATCGTGGGGGGCTCACCCACGTGCGCGGGAACTTTTTCCCGCTGCCAACTCCCGAGCGCGGGAGTTCTCCCGCTGCCAGCTCCCGAGCGCGGGAGTTTTCCCGCTGCCAGCTCCCGAGCGCGGAAAAATTCCGCGCGATTTTTTCTTCTCCCGCCCCATTCAGCCCGCCAATTAATCCGGATCCCCCCTTTTAGTTTCTCCTATAAATAGGAGAGGTGGTGGAGGTGTTTTGGTGTGGGGAAAAATATTAAGTGGGAAAATTGTGGAGAAAACAATTAGGTTTGTGAGTTTTCTTAGAGAGAAAAGAAAAGAGTTGAGATAAAACTTGTATTAAGTTTGGTATTCTCCTCATAGTGAAACCCCCTCCCGTGGACGTAGGCTAGTTTGCCGAACCACGTAAATCTCGTGTATTTACTGTTTTTCTGGGTTGTTGGCTATTGCTTGTAGGATCCCTCAAAATTCGGTCTTGCGCTGATGAGAGGAAGAGTGGATATCTCACTTCGCTGAGATATTTCGCTACTGAGTCTAGGTTTCCTTCGCGAAACACAGATTTCGAGTTTGACTTGTACTTTGTGCAAACAAAAGTCAGGGCTCTCTCTCAGGTGATATCGCTTCCGCGGCGGTGGGCGTGACTCTGCGCCCAACACCTTACGTACAAAGGTTCCCTCAGAGATCGAGAAAAATAAAATTAGGATTTCCTCACTAGACAACGTACGTGCACAGTGGAAGTTTATTATTTCCATAAATGATAGACAGGATCTCGTGTAACATATGCATAGGAACATCACTTATACTGAAGAAACAAAATCTTTCACCAAGTTTACATGAATGTGCAAAACTGCGGAGGTTCCTCACGGCACACAACGTATCTTGGGGGCACGCAAACTATGGGGTTGGAAGGACATTCTGAGAAACAAATTGGAGGATATGAAGGGCATGAAGCTGGCTTTGAAGGCTCAGGTTCAGGTTTTGCAGGGGGACCAATGGTTGAAATTTCGGCGCATTTGCAAACTTTTCTTATTCGTTTGATCACGTCCATTGGGTCAGCGGAGCCGATGACTGTCATCGTGTTCTTCTCAGCATCCATTTCAATCTTGTCGATACCTGCTCATGATCAGTCACAAGTCACAACAAAAATTTAGTTACTTGCTTTACATATGACATGTTTTGGACAGTTCATATTCATATATGTACTTTTCAATTTTATCGGAAGAAGAGTTCTTTGGATTAGGGTAGGCTTAACAAGGGTGATGTAGGCATTCTACCATTCATGTTAACACCATGTACTCCAGGGGGCTTTGTACAATTTCGAAAGCTCAGGGGGGGTTGTATCTGATTCGTAAAGTTTACGGGGATTTGTGCAGAGCACGCCAAAGTTCAGGGGTTTTTGGAGAAATTTACCCTTTCCAAGGTGTACCGATATTATACATTAGGTAGTATATCATGAGTTTTCACTGAAATATATATAATGGTCATCTTAGTAATGCAAAGCACTAGGACTTCATCTTTACATTTCTCTCCGAAGTAGAGAGTTTTAAATGCTCAACGTGTAACTAGCTAGTTTACTTAGCATGACTAATGATTTCAGTTATTCAAATCCGAAGCAAGTTTCTCTATTAAAAAGAAAAAAAGAAAAACCTTGTAGCACGGAGACAGCTTGTAGAAGCTTCCTCTTACAACATTGGCTAGCGATATGAACCTTGATCACCATCTTCATCCATGCTCTCTCTCTCTCTCTCTCTCTCTCTCTCTCTCTCTCTCTCTCTCTCTACACACTAAGACCAACCTACAGTACTATGGATTGGCTTTATAGGCGCTTATGCAATTAGACAAAAGAAAGTTTCAATTAGGATATTGAGGTTGATCAACACACTAACTAGAATTAGTTGTAGAGTCCCTTCAACTAGCTAGGCCATTAGTTGTCATTAAACCTCTTTATGAAAAGGAATCGCGATAGTACATCGTAAACTCTCACGACTCGCTCAAATACATTAACTAATAGCACTTGCTTCTATGGGCTTTGTTGCTTGCTACGACTTGTTCTCCTTCCTCATTGACACACTGTATATTTGATGAATTATTAGTCTACTAGTACCAGGAATTAGAGCACAAATTAAAAAAAAACTGTACTTGTATGATTGTTATCAGTTGTAATAAATTTTCAAGGACTCTAAATGTTGGTTTGAGAAACTTTGAGTCAAGTCCTCTACCATCCAGAGTTTGACCGAGAACTAACCGAGAGCTAACTAATACACTACGTGCTTCAATGGACTTGAGAAAAATATACATAAATGATGAAATCAGTCTGTTGACGAGAACGAATGTGAATCTAATTTCACATTAGATTGTTATCATTGGTTTAAAGTGGTTAAATGTCAAATGCTGTTTAATACTGAGAGTGGAAATATACAATTTTCAATTTGAGCTACCACTTGCTCAAATAAATTTTGATTTTTGTACCTAGCTAGTATTTAAAATAGGTAATAGCATGGATCTCATGCTTATTTTCGAATGGAGTAAGCTAAATTTGGATGGTGATTTAGGCATTTAGAGAAGTACTTCACTTAAGTTAATCCAAAATTTCAATTATTCACTCCTAGAGCGAGGGGGAAAAAAGACAACCACCACCACCTTAATTATGAGTTAAAAAGATTAAGAACTAGCAAGATCAATCAAAATATTCTGTAAAAGTGGGAACACTAATTCAACCTATAGAAATATCGTAGTGAATAATCTCTGAGAAAAGCACCAAAACTATCTTCCCTTATCAGTGATGCATTATTATTCATGGGAAGAAAATGTCATTATATAGCAAGAAAACTTTGCAATTTTCACGATATTCTCTCTGGAATACAAACCACTCCTGAAGAAAACTTGGAGGTAAGTTCTCATAAATTCAAACAACTAGGCTCAAATATCTATGTATTATTACAAGATAGAACAGTAATTATAATCATGTTCCCCAATTACATACCAAACTTCACATCTTTGGCACGTCTTTGGAACCGTTGTAAAATTTTCTTTCTTCTCATCTTTCTTATCTTTCTTATCATCCTTTTTCTCCTCTTTAGCAGGACCGATACTAACAAATGCAGCTGATCTCCTGCATTTTCTCAGCTTCTTAATGATCTGAGCAGGATCGGCATCTCCAATTACAGTAGCTGTGTTTTTTGATGGATCGAGAACAATTGAATTTATGTCTTCTATGGATGCTATCGATTTCATTACCCACTTCTTGCACTTTGAACATAGTAAATCCACTGATACAACAGTTTTCTGCAGTAACAAAAAGCAAAATATTGCAGCAAGAGATATAGAAATGAGGATATGTGTTGTTTATGGAATTAGACTATGTACCTTTGACATGCTTTTTGCAAAGATTGGGAAGGAATTCAAGTATAAGTTGATATGGATGTGGGCACAAATAGAGCGATGATATTTATAAAGCTTCTCGTTGTGGAAGCATTTATTTCACCTCCAACAGGTACATTTTATTTCGGATAAAGTTTACCAAACCCTTCCGAATTTTATACATCACAGGAAAAACCCACAAACTAAACCCCCATGAACTATTGGAAATTCTCATAAATAACATTAACGGATCGAGTAGAAAGTCTAACATGCCTTTCTTTTTTCTAATTACTTTTTTATATATATTTGTGCGAAAAAAGGCAAAGTTATATTTATTAGATAGGGTAAAATTGTCCAAAACTTGTCAACTAGAGCATCTGTGATAACTTCAAAGTACAGTAATTGCCTGCCATTAGTCATGGTACTTAAGCAAGACAGGTTCAAGGGGCTTTTCTATCCTTTATAAAGTTCGGAGGGGTTTTATGCAATTTACCATTTTTTCAGACTTATGCTGCAGGACCCACATATATTATGTGTTTGATAATTTGGTTGGAGATTGGCGGGAGACTAAATGAGGGGATGGACTAGTTGGAGGGGCAGTAAACGCTGGCAAAGGGGGCTATTTATTGTATCACCTATGAAGTCACTGTGTCTTAGTACTTGTATGAAGTTTGAGGGCATGTCATCAAAATATCAGGTGACAGATTATCAATATTTTTAACACTGTTACAAATAAACTACAAAGGAATTATGGGGGGAAAAAAAATATCATCCATATCGTTACCATAAGCACGGCCAAGACAAAAGTTTGTTCCCTAATCATTTTTGCCACCAACTTTAAATTCCTACTTTAAACTTGACTTCTCTTTTATCACTGGATCATCCATATGGTTACCATAAACATTTCAAATGCTTTATTTTCATGAGTAAAATGAACAATTTCGGGAATAAAAAGGAAATACATGAGATGGACCTTGTTGTAAAAGTTTGAAGTAACATGGCACAAAATAATGCATCGGGATTGGGTTGAGTCATAAACTAGGGTGAGGTCGTGTGAGTTTTTGGCCTGTAAAGATTTTATGGTCAGGCTTGAACCACATGCACTATATTGCTAATTGACACATTTTTGCATCACCAAACCTATTCATTCGGCTGCATAGCTGCCGTTTTAATTGCCTTAAATACGAAGGTTATTGCTGTCACTTTTGAATTTTTCATAATGTAGTTGGTATGTCACTTTCTTTGAATCAGGATCAAGTATAATGTCCTTTTCTCCTTTATAATGTGGAACCAGGTTACGAAAATAACAAAAAATAACACAGGCATTTTTAATCCAAATGTAGATGAAGGGAACCTATTTATACTATAAGTGATAAAAATTGTCTAAAGTTTGAAGGATTAGCTATGATTTTCCATTTAAACCTGGTTACAATAAAGCAAGCTTCCAGGTACATAAACAACCAAATCTTGAACAGCCAGAAGACTGGAATTGCTTTGTATCACAAACTATCTAAAAAAAATCATGAGACCAAGATAAAAGGAATAGTTATTCCTTTTCCCCTTTTCTTTTTCTGCTTGTTTTTTCCCCCTTCGTGGGGACAGGGGGGAGTCTCCTTGGTGACAAAGCTAGTTTAGGCCTTCAAATATCATCAAACTCTACTAGGTGTGATTTTCTTCTTATCAATGGACTAGAAACTAAAATACAATTGCTCATCAATTCATCTTACCTGCCATACACTAAAATGCTAACATTGAGTTAATTCTCCATCGAGACTTCCAAAAGTATGCACAAGCTTAGTTTCGGAAAAAGAAAACTTCAGTAAGTATCGCAGGACTCATCCAATGGTCCTTAAGTCACTAGTACAAGAGAGCGTAGACAAGAAAATCATGTGTCAAATACTCTTACTTTTCACAATCTCAAGCAAGATGAGATTGCGAAAGCGAAAAAATAATGTTGATACTTGATGTGGTGTTAGTCTGGAACGATTACAACTTCTTAATTATAGATTCAGTTAAACAACAGTATGCCAACTAATATAGAGAACTAATGAAATTCGCAAGGCCATAAAGAGACACCTGTATCTTTTACCCTTTCAATGTAAATATGGCATCCGGACTCTTCAGTGTTGACAATTGATCTAATCCTCAGCACGTCCAATTGTGGATGTGCCTCTACTTTCTTCTGTCAGAATTTTATTTGTGTAGTAATTAACTATCTTCTGATCTAATTCATAGTAGTAAACCATCTTGTTTAGAGGCTTCAAATCCAGGTCAAGGAAGTTCACCTGCATAAAACACCTTAAATTCTCAAAACTATTTTACAACTTTAGACATGCTAAGAGAAAAACCACAGAGCATACACACATTATATGTCTAACTACAAAAAGTGAAACATTCAAATGATGTGAAATACAACTTTTAACTTTGCTAACCTGAAAACATTAAAAACATCTCCATAACAAATGAATTATGAAAAGAAAAAAAAAACAATTACATATAAATTATGTAATGCAAACACTAGCTATAAATATCAAGACATCCATATTTAGTATGTTTGTGCAGTCGATCAAGAGTGTAAAGAATGGTTCATGATTCTCTTTTGCAAATACAAGCACTATAGTCTGTAACCTAGTGTCTCCAATTGAAAATCGAAGTTAAGATTAAACAAGTGTACCTTGTATTCGAAGCTCAGGCCACATGATTTGAGAAATATGGAACTACTGTCAGTTTCTGTAGCCCCAACATCCGCATGCCTAAAGCTAAGCATCAAGCTACAATCTTTTGCGGTAGCAGCTATAAGATATTCCCTCACAATTTTCAGGCTCTCTTCCAATGAAAGAGAATGCAGGAAAGAATACTGATGCATGAGTTCTGTATCAATTACATCTTTGCACACTATACAAGGCTCGGAGATTATGTTGTAATATAAATGAATTGCCCCTTCTATGTCAACAAGATCCAGTTTCTGAGCAGCTAAAAGCTTATCCAGTACTGCAGATTTCAAAAGAACCTCCACTATAAGCTCTATGAAGGTAGCTAATTTTAGCCCGCTACCCTTGAGCAAAGCTTCAACTTTCTCATTTGCTTCATGAGAACGAGCATCTGTCATGTCCATGCCACCTCCCAATCCTCCAAAAATAAGTGAGCCATTCTGGAAAACCCGAAAATTATTTCCGGGAGTTGTAAACAGTGAAGTAATGGCCTGATATATTCTGTCCTTTGAACCAGAGAACAGATCCAAAGGGTCGTATCCACTTAGCTGTGATATCTGAGAGATGAATTTAAATGTGTCAGATGAACCCTCAGCTTGAGCTTTTAAATAGTTAATAGAAGTACACGCCTTAATATAACTAAGTGGCATCAACAGGTTCCACATAGCCAGAAAGAGATATTGCTGATTGCAATTTGAATAAGCACTCTTAAGAAAATTAATAAATATATTTGTTTAGCTGTTTAGATAAGGATAGGTAGGTGGCACATCATTAGCAGTTGCTATAGCAGGGGCTAGCTGTTTAGATAAAAATATAGTATACTGAACAATATCACATTTTTCAATAACAGGAACTAAACCATTTGGTGAAATGGAATATGATATGCACACTAGACTAGTAGTTAATCTTTAGGATAATTTTGCATAAAGCGGAAAGATGTGCAGCATAAGTACCTCTCCTTCATGAAGTTTCAGGAGTTGATGCATTTTAAATCGTGTGGTGGACTTCTTAATAACATTTTTTTGTGCAATGAATTCTGAAGACGGGAGAAATCCACACTTGGGCTGAAAAAGAAAAAAGAAAGAAAGAAAAAGAAATACATCAATAGGTAAATATTGTGTGAGTTTCAACTGAATGAAATGCACACAGAGATTAAGTAAGACACCTTTATTTCTACTGTGAAGCACATGTCCGCATTAAGGGTACCTGGGATGATTCTGAAAGCATTATAAGGATTACTAAACATCAATACGCTACAACTAGAAAAGCAAGCAAACACATCTTACTTTATAAAACTTCAGTTGCTCAAAACTACGGACAAAGGCTTGGTTGTGTGTATTAACAGTAACAGCTTATGGGTCCTCAAAAAATGTAACAAGTTAAATTCAGAAGTATGAATCAGACTATCCAAAATAGAAAGTAATGATTGATGATGGGTAAAAATTAAATAACAATAGTTTAAGTACATCTTCATTCCATGAAACCCAAGGTGAAGGAAATCTTATGAAACTCAGGTATAACTTCCTAAAATGCATTTCGCATTTTAAAAGGAGGCCTTTGCCCTATTTTCCGTCAATGGATCAGTCTTAGATTGTGCATGACATGCAAGATAGCTAAACTGACTGTTCAATGACTTTCGTTTGGTCTTGATTTGTTACTAAAACATAATCCATTAAGTAAATCAACTTCGTCAAACCCATGAAACAGTTCAGACAAGGTTATCTGGAGTAACTTAAGACATGAAAACACACTGAACAAAAACAAGTAAAACATCGAGATCAAAGAACTAACCTTTACTACTTAAGAAAATAGAATGATCGGAAATAAGAAGTGCAGAATCACAATTGATATCAACTTCAGCAGCATCAACACGCCAAGTCGGGCGTTGATCATTGGTACTCCTTTTAATGGAATGCAGGAATTCCCTAGACACGGTGATGCAAATCTGAGAACAGAATCTAGCATTCAGGTGACTATTAGTTTCATTGCCAAAACTTAGATTCAAATGTGAGAAACTCTTTAGGCTCAATTTTCACTTCGGAATCCCAAAATTCACCCATTTTTTCACTTTGATACCCCAAAGTATTTTTTTAACACTTTGATACGATGTTTCAATTCAATTTAATTTTGATTCCCCCTTTCTCTTCTAAACACACAGACACACAGAGGTTTCATTAGATTTTCTGTTAAATGTTTATAACATTCAAAGTTACCGATAGCGGATAGCGTCGTGGAGGCACCGCTAAGGCTATTTGGGACTATAGCGGCAAAATAGTGGTCAAAAGCGCAAAGTCAAATAGCGATCCAATTTAAATATGTATAAATATTCAAAAAAAGAAAGGAAAAATTAAAGAAAAATGTAAAAATTCTAAAATGCATATTTGATGATTTATAGAGATCCTAAGCCTGAAATAGATGTGTAACAATCACATAATATTAACAAAAGTACGGTACAAAATGGAAAAGCATACATGTCTATAAAAAAGACCATTATTTATCTCATTCTTTCTACTTTCAAGTCTCTAATAGAAAAGTAACTATAGAAAAACATTGATTAGTGGCAACATAATTGTATTAACTATTTGTTATTGGACATAAAAATGAAGTCTTTAAGCATATAGATAAATGAGCACTTTTTACCGCTATTTACCACCATTTGCCACTATTTGCCGCTATTTAGTGCTTTCGAAGCTTTGGCGAGTGAAAAGCGCTCACAAGCGCTATTGTTCACCGCAATCAATAAAATCCTAGTGGTAGGCTCCGCTATTGCTATTTGTGCCACAATAGCGCCGCTATTGGCCACTATTTACAACAATGATTTATATCTAGGTAGCATTCAAGAAAAATCTAAAGAAATAAATTTAACAAAAAATCTAAAGAACATAGGACGGGGTATCAAAGTAAATGAGAGTGAATTTTTTGGGGTATCAGAGTGTTAGAAGAATACTTTGGGGTAAAAGTGAAAAAAGTGCAAACTTTGGGATACCAAAGTGAAAACAAGCAGCAAGCCAATTCCTTAATGTGTTATATATAAAAATGAAGAAAGGCCCAAGAGAACAAGGTCGATGCAAAGAACAAGGATATACCAATAGTTAGCTTAAATCTTAATGGAAGAGATGGCCCTTTACAGAAGGATTCATGTAGTTAACCGCAAAAATTTAGGATAAAGACTTCGTTGTTATACAAAAAAAGAAGCAATAAGTTTAAAAAGTTTCAAAGTATATTGTACTGAAAGCTCCAGCATTTCCAATCATCCAAAGGCGAGAAGAAGGAACGTACCCCACCATCTACATGTTTGGGGTCTAATAGAGGACCCATAACCCACATCATATAACCTTGTTCAACAAGTTCAATCGAATTCGACTCCACAAGTTCTTTGAAGTCCCTCCACAGAAGCTGTTCATTCTTAGACAGAGCAAGACCTCCATTTGCAGACTTCACCTCAGATTTTGGAACCTTCTTTCTTGTCGGAACCTTTTTTATTCGCAACACTTTGCCAATCTGTTTCAAAAGAAGCACCAAAATGACCAATTCCAAGGTAAATGTCAAAGTACTTACACAAGTTTGTTGGATATCATGTCCCCATAATATAATTTTAATGATAACAATTTATTCATAATGTGAATCACTATGTGTGTTATACAAATGCACTAACATTTAAATGCAGTTTTTCAACATCAAATATGAACAAGTGCAAGATGAGTTCAAGACATTATGAAGTAAAGAAGATGAAGAACAAATACATCAATGTAATTTTTTACATTTTTTCTTAGAAATATTATACAAGCCTTGATCACTCACACACACATAGAAATTAGAACACACTAACACAGGCTTAGTGTGTTGGTTAACAATAGAAATCCCCTATGTTAACCATTAGAATATTTAGTTAATCATTGAGTCTAAAAATATTTCATACATAACATTTTTTACCCTTAGTAGTCGACAAATTAGAATAGTAGTCGACTATTGTAGTCTAAGTTCAAGATATAAGTTTCCGTAAAACTACAGAGTAGTCAACTAATAAGAATTATAGTTGACTACTCAGCTTTGAATTTTGATTTACAGAACTTCAGTTTTACAGAGTAGTCGACTACAAGTAAATATAGTCGACTACTGAGCTTTGAAATATTGTTTTACAGAACATTTATTTTACAGTGTAGTCGACTACTAACAATTATAGTCGACTACTGATCTTTGATTTTTGTTTTCTAGACTTTCTGTAATACAGAGTAGTCGACTACTAAGAAGAATAGTCGACTACTAAACTTCAATTTCTGAATTCCAGACTTTCTGTATTACAGAGTAGTCGACTACTATGCATTATAGCCGACTACTAAGACAGTTTTTTCTGAACATTTGAAATTAAACTTGTGACAGTTTTTAGCTGTTTTTCAAATGTTTTGAAGTTTAAAAATTTGTCTTTTCAAGGGCTATATAAAGATTATATGTTCAGAAAAATGACACATGATAATATACCCATAAGCTTCATTCTTTGTGAATTTTCAAAAGTCAAAAATTTCAGATTTCAGAAAGTTTTGAGAAAAAGATCTTTATTGAAATTGCCTTTTATCCTCATTCAAAATACAAATTATTTAGGCAATTTCCAGAGGATAAAATTATTCCTAAACCACTGATACACAACACTACTAATCAAGGCTTATAGGAATTGAGTTGTTTGATTTAAGAAAATGTCTCTCGGTTTGAGAGAGATTGATCTCTTAGTTTAGAGATTGGTGTGCAATTGGCAAAGTGTTGTCAATTGGTGTTGCAATTTGCAGGGACTTGCAAATTGATCAGGTTTGGTTTTGATTTTGTAAGGTTTCAAAATCATAGTGAAAACTCTCAAGCGGGATTTGCTTGGGGACTGGATGTACATCGGATTGGTGGAACCAGTATAAAATCTCTTGTTTGTGATTGTGATTTTCTGAAATTGTTGTCATTCTTTATTGTAATTTATTATCTATTTTGCATAAATTTTAAAAGAACACTATTCACCTCCCTCTAGTGTTCTAGAGTATCTATTTCAGATCCTACAAAGTTCAGCATAAACATAGAGAAAAGTTTAATTGTAACTTTCGCCATGAAGTAATTGTCATATACACGAGTAAATAATCAACCCAAACATGCACCAAGGCATAAAAAGTTAGCTCAGAAGTGGGTATTTCCATCAAATCTCTAAAAACCAAAATTGTAGCAAAATTACCAATCACAAAGTAGTGAAATACTTGCACAGGTCAGCAAGATCAGAATAAACATAGAGAAAATTAAAACATTACACTTTTGTCATGAAGCAATCATCATATGCATAGGAAATCATCAAAGTCACGATGAGGGTTGAGGGCTATATTTTCACACTTATAAAAATATGAATCCGAAATTTATCAGACCATAAACAAGCATAGTTTACGAAAGCTACATTAAACATAAAATCAGACAAAAACCCATGTCAAAATTTAGCTCAATAACACATATTTCCATAAAATACATAGAAAGAATAAATAAATAAATAAATAAAAAGTGAATAGTTCACCAGAAAGGGAGAAGAACCATGGTAGCTTAACACGAGATTAGCAGCTCCTTCTCCTTTGTAGCTCCAATCCATCGCATCCTCTTCTCTCAAAATCAAAGCCATCGCCTACACGAATCAAGAGAAAACGAAACAGGGAATTGATTTTGAGGACGAAAAGCGTCCCCTTTTCGAGCGAATCCCGAGAGAGGGGTTAATGGCGCAACGGATCGGATTCATAGAATCCAATTCCGGATCCGATTGGTTCTTTTTTATTATTTCAATATACTAGTTAAATAACATATTTGCAAAACTACCCCAAATCAACAGATAATCAACTTTGTTAATATGGCGATTAAGAATTTGAGTATTTTGTTGATATTTTTACATTGAAGTTATATACTAGCCTTATCAAAATCGATGATTTGTTGATTTGGGAGTAATTATTTCAAAGTTGATGATTTAGGGAGTAATTTTGTAAATGATGCGATTTGAAAGATAGTTTTGAGAATGTGCATAATTTGTGATCAGATGTCATTGTGAATATGCATAATTTGTGATTAGATGTCATGATCTTTATTAAAATTATAACTTTTATTGCAGCTATTTATGATTGATTTGAAATACAGAATAATGAAAGTATGATCTCTCCCAAAGTTGCCGAGTATATTAAAATGTTGAAGAATGAAAAATATGGTGAGTATGCGTTTGCTTTGCACTTTTTTTTTGGGTTATTTGCTTTGTACTTATTTTTGACAAAACAAAGTATATAAAAAGCACATAAATTAAGATTTACATTGTATAAAATGTATTGGAATCTGATTAAAAAAAGGATTATGACTACCCCTTTATTCTTCTCAAAGAAAGAATGATAATAATTAATTAGTGTTGTAAGTGGAAGGTGGATTTATTCTCCCAACAACTTGAAGAGTCGACTCTAATTAACTAGCTTGAACACTAATATGCCCTATGCTTGACTCGGAAAAATAATTATTACTCTTTTCCCCAAAAAAGGTTTTGTTTATAAAATAAGGTAAATAGCGCGCAAACACCCCTTGGCTTATGTATTAGCGCCTGGCGCCCTAATCTGCATTCTTTAGAAAGACGAGAGCCGTGCAAGTAACACCACTCCCCCTCATGAGTCGAGGGGGCCTGAGCACTAAGAATGGAGTATGGATAAAGGGGTTATATATGCACTTTACCCAAAAAAATAAAAGAAAAAAAGAAAAAAGAAAATTATAAAAGAAAATATAGCGAATTTAGAAGTTTTTTTTTTATAAAAGCATCACATTTATCACGAGGGAATAAAACGACAAAACATTTTCTTCCTTACTGGAGGAAGGGTAGGTGCGTAAGAGGGACTTTCAAACATGATTTTACAAGAAAATTTCAAAATACATCCACCATAAAATTCAAGCCGAACTTAGAGCAAGTGCAGCAAGCTCCTAGTTGTGAGTCCTAGTTGTTGGATTTATTCTAATAAATCTATTTGTGGGCACATATGATTAATCAATGTGTATTGCTATCTCTCAGGATAACCCACTAAAGTGATCAATTAAGATTGGGTTAATGTGTATTTAAATATAATCATGGGGTTATATGTGCAGATACCAGGTTGTAATTGTGATTTAATGAGGGGCTAAATTACAAAAGTACAACATCTATAAATAAGGGGTTATGGTCCCTAATCTAGGGTTACTACATTCTCTAATTCTCTTCACCCCCATCTAAGAGAGAAATTCGGCTAAAGAGAAAGCCCTAAGGTTAGAAGATCCAAAACCCAAAATCAAGATCAAGCAATGGATTCAGGTATAAGCTTCCGCTCTTTTAGTTTTTTGTTAATCTCTTTGAATTAATCATGGCTATATGGTTTTAGATCTCAAGTTTTATGATGTAGATCTAACAAGTGGTATCAGAGTCACCTTGATTAATTCTTAGGGATTTAAGTTTTATTGGGTTTTTTGATCTTAAATCTCTGGTTAAAGATTCATTTTTTTGTTCTCGGATGAACAATAATGTTCGGTGAACAGTAGCAAAAAATTTTTTCGGATGAACAGTAAAGTATTTTTTGGATGAACAGTAACTGAAAAAATGCCGGTGAACAGTAACTTTTTGGAATTTTCTTTGATTTTTTCTTCAATTTTTTCCAATTCTGGATCTGTTTTGAAAATAAAAATCAAAGATTTTTGGGTTTGACGGCGGCGGTTTCAATTTGAAACCCTAAGGGTTCATGGTGAAAATTGAGGAGGTGGTTACCTCAAACGAACCTCGCGTTCGTTCCCAAGGATGAACTCTGCGTTCAATTTTAAACGAACTTTGCGTTCGTTCTCAGGTCGAACTTTGCGTTCGTACTCAGGTTGAACTCTGCGTTCATTTTCTTAACGAACTTTGCGTTCGTGTGACGAAGGCCGCTTTGATCCTATATTGATATAGTCAATGGACGAGATTGTTCGGAAATACCTTTTCAGTGATAGCAATTTTTGAGCTCATAAGGTTATACACAATTTAAGGAATCATATGGTGCCCAAGTGGGAGATTGTTGGATTTAATCTAATAAATCTATTTGTGGGCACATATGATTAATCAATGTGTATTGCTATCTTTCAGGATAACCCACTAAAGTGATCAATTAAGTTGGGTTAATTTGGTATTTAAATGATCATGGGGTCATATGTGCAGATACCAGGTTGTAATTGTAATTTATTGAGGGGCTAAATTACAAAAGTACAACATCTATAAATAAGGGGTTATGGTCCCTAACCTAGGGTTACATTCTCTAATTCTCTACACCCCCATCTAGCTAGAGAAATTCGGATTTAGAGAAACCCTAAGGTTAGAAGATCCAAAACCCATCTCAAGGTTCATCCATGGATTCAGGTATAAGCTTCCGCTCTTTTGATTTTGTTAATCTCTTTGAATTAATCATGGCTATATGGTTTTAGATCTCAAGTTTTATGATGTAGATCTAACAAGTGGTATCAGAGCCACCTTGATTAATTCTTAGGGATTTAAGTTTTATTGGGTTTTTGATCTTAAATCTCTGGTTAAAGATTCAATTTTTGGGTTCGGATGAACAGTAATGTTCTCGGATGAACAGTAACGAATTTTTTTTTCGGATGAACAGTAAAGTATTTTTTTCGGGTGAACAGTAACTTTTGGGAATTTTTTGGATTTTTCTTTGATTTTTCCTTCAATTTTTTCCAATTCTGGATCTGTTTTGAAAATAAAAATCAAAGGTTTTTTGGGTTTGTCGGCGGCGGTTTCAATTTGAAACCCTAAGGGTTCATGGCGAAAATTAAGGAGGTGGTTACCTCAAACGAACCTCGCGTTCGTTCAATTTTAACCGAGCTTCGCGCTCAACGAACCTCGCGTTCGTTCTAAGGTGAACCTCGCGTTCAACTCAGGTGAGCGTCAAGCTCAATTTTAACGAACCTCGCGTTCGTTCTAAGGTGAACCTCGCGTTCAACTCAGGTGAGCGTCAAGCTCAATTTTTTTAACGAACCTCGCGTTCGTTCTTCAGACGAACCTCGCGTTCGTACTTCAGACGAACCTCGCGTTCGTACTTCAGACGAACCTCGCGTTCGTACTTCAGACGAACCTCGCGTTCGTACTTCAGACGAACCTCGCGTTCGTACTTCAGACGAACCTCGCGTTCGTACTTCAGACGAACCTCGCGTTCGTACTTCAGACGAACCTCGCGTTCGTGCTTCAGTCGAGCCTCGCGTTCGAACTTCAGACGAACCTCGCGTTCGTACTTCAGACGAACCTCGCGTTCGTACTTCAGTCGAACCTCGCGTTCATTTTTTAAACGAACCTCGCGTTCGTTCCCAAGTTGAACCTCGCGTTCTTTTATCAAACGAACCTCGCGTTCGTTCATTTTCAGACGAACCTCGCGTTCGTGCTTAAGTGAGTCTCGTACTCAATACAGTCGAACCTCGCGTTCGAAGTTAAGGGAACTTCGTGTTCATTATGGTTAAGCCTCGGCTTTTCATGGGTCCACTTTGGTATACTTAATTTATTCAATTAAGTTATGGGCCCTAATTAAGCTGTGAGACCCCAATTAAGTTTTTGGAAATTCAGTTGATTTAAATTAAAACTTTTTAATTTAAATCTAATTTGGTTTTTAATCAATTATTTAATTCAAATATTATGACACTAAGGTATTAAGGTTGTCTCTCACTCCAATTGATTAATTGAAACAAGAAGTTGCCAAAGTAACCTCTCTTGTGTAGATTGTTCATGAGGAATGTGAGATGTTTGTGTGTATGCTTTCGTGTAAATATTTAATCGGCCCAAAGGAAGGTTAATATTTATTTAGACTGTATACACATCTGCGATGATAAGCGTGTGACAATTATAAGGTTTACATGTGAATAATGAATCGATCCAAAGATAGTTTCATTATTTGACATGAGTTATTGTCAATGTTTGATCATTGCAACAAGGTATCACTTACAAGTTAATATTACTGTCCAAAGACTTGATATTAATGTTGTGCCGGTATCTTGGATGGGGATTGTCATTATTTGAATTTTATTGATTATGGTTATTGATGTGAGCATTTTTGTTTTATTTCAGCTAATGCATCTGCTGCAACAATTTCTGCTAACATCAACTCAATTCCCATGCTAAATGGGACAAACTTCAAGGTTTGGAAAGAGAACATATTAATTGTTCTTGGCTGCATGGATCTTGACTATGCATTAAGAACTGAACAACCCCAACCTCTCAATGCGGATAGCACTCCTGATGCAAAGAAGGAGCATGAGAAGTGGGAGCGTTCAAATCGCATGAGTCTTATGATCATTAAGCGCGGCGTTCCGGAAGCCTTCAGGGGCATAGAATCCGAAGGGATTACTAAGGCTAAAGATTTCCTTGCCGAAATTGAGAAGCGTTTTGCGAAAAACGATAAGGTAGAAACAAGCACGCTTTTAGCTCGCTTGATTTCAATGAAGTATAAGGGCAAAGGAAATATCAGGGAGTACATTATGGAAATGTCTCATATTGCTTCAAAGCTTAAGGCACTTAAACTCGATCTTTGTGACGAGTTATTAGTGCATCTGGTTTTGTTGTCTCTTCCTGCACAGTTTAACCAATTTAAGGTCAGTTATAACTGTCAAAAGGAGAAATGGACTCTAAATGAGCTCATTTCATACTGTGTGCAAGAAGAAGACAGGTTGAAGCAAGATAAGACAGAAAGTGCTCATTTGGCCTATGCCTCTAAGGATAA